ACACCGGCAGCCCTGACCCAGCTGTTGGCAAACTCCAAAGAAAGGAGCTGCCTGGGCAGTTTGTCCTGTGGGCAGCGGGACTGACCGACTGACCGGAGGAACAGGAAGGGGAAAGGTTGAATTCACCCTTCGTGCAAACAGCCGCTCTCCTGCAAACACCCTGGCCCTGGACCCAGGGCAGTGCTTGGGTCAGAGCGCTGCCACCGGCTTGGGCAAAAACTGGAAGAGTTCAGCTGCAGCGTGCAGGGGCAATTTGTCAAGCGACAGCAAACTGTAAGTGGGAAGGAACGGGCTTTGCAATCCCAGCTCCCCCTCCTCGAGCAGCCCCGAAGCCTGGCGTGCCCCGCAGCGAGCAGGCGTATCTAACCACCTCCCACGACGGGGCTTCCTCAGCGCCTGGGAGAAGCCACAACATCTCTTCAGAGTGCTGGAGAGGGGATTTATCACTTCCTCGGGTGCCAGAGCAGATAAGGTGCGGCGCCATGCAAAAAAAAAAACCCAGCAGCAAGTAAGTGTGCAAAGGGGACAGTTCTCCAGCATGCAAAGGCACTGCTGTGCCCCTTCCCCTGGGCCATGCAGAGGGTTAACTGCACCCAAAGCCAAACCCGGCACCCAACCTGACATCCCTCCCGAGCACCCAGCACCCTCAGGCCCCTCTCCAAGGGTGGGATGCTGCCCGTGGGGGACAGCCACCACAACCCTGCCCACCCCAGCTCGTCTGGCCATGACCCCCAAGACTCTGCCCACTGCAGCCACCGACGGAGGCGGGTTTGACATTTGCAGAGAATCTCCCCCTGTTCGGTCCTAATAATTAGTCAAGTACAGGCGGATTTTTACAGCATGATACAAGTAGCTGGGAGCAGGGAATGCAAGCGTGGGGGCTGCTTTCCAAGAAAGAAGGGGCTTTTCCTTCCCCAAAGGAGCATGGGGTGGAGGCAAAAGCATGTCCAGGACTTGATCCCTCACCCTGCCACCCTTAGGACAATGCACAGAGCCAGGATAAGACCCTGGCCCAGGGTGTTGCAGCCCTGTCGGTGCAATGCACCAGAGCAAAGCCAAGCCTGTGACCCAACGTCGACACCCTCCAGCCCTAGGGCTGCTAGTGATCAGCTGTTCGCTGTCCAGACCAGTAGGAAAGTGATAATGTCCAACAGAGGAGAGATGGAAATAACCACACTCCCCCTCCTGTCACCGGGCAGGGATGTCACGGGCCAGGGTGGGAGGAGGCAGTGGGAAAAGTCTGTAAGCTCCATTTTCTAACTGGGTGGTCCTCTGGGCATCCATGCCATGATCTCAGAAAAAAAAAAAAAAAAAAAAAAGAAAAAATAAAGACACTGGTAGCTGGAAAGACGTCCTGAAATTCCTCTATCTGTGCCAGTCCCCATGCCCCGAGAGAGCACAAGCATGGAGAAAATTAAAAGCAACTGCTTTACACTCTGCTCTTCTTCCAATTCAGGCCAAGCGTAATTTTGAGGTTAATTCCCAGCCTGTTCCTGTTCAGGGCTTCATCTTCCTTACAAACCAAAGGCCACAACTCAGTCCAGGCCAGCTGGTGTGGAAAGCAGGGACCCCACAGGGACATCCCCATGTCCCTATTGAGCCCTGGGTGGCTTCCTTGGGCAGAGGGTCCCGCTGGCCAGGCTGGCTTTCTCCTGGAGATGGAAAAGGGTCCCTGGGATCCTTCCATCTTCCCAGGACAGGCTCGGGAAAGCTGACCTCCACGTGAGGTTTGCAGGAGGTTAAAGGGGACTGTGCGGTGCCAGCACAAGCACGCCTTGCCAGGAAAGAGGGAATTCCCACAAAAAGGGAATTTCTTCCTTGCCGGGAAAGGGGCAGCACAAGAAGAGCTGGCAATGGGTGGGTGGAGGAGCAGCCAGGACAGAGCCATCAACAGTATCACATCTGCCAGGGACCAGGGGCCAGATCCTGCCACCACCCAGGATCACAGGGCTCTGAGCATCCAGCCCAAGGCTCAGGTTCACCAGTGCAGCCCCACAGCAACAGATTTTCCCAAAGAGGGAGCAGATGCGGTGACTGACCCAGTTTTTCCCATGCCATGTAAGCACCCTAGAAGGTCAAACGCAGGCTGGGGAGGGGGGGGGGGGGGGGAGGTATCAAGGGAACATCACCTCCCACCTGCAACCCCGAGCGGGGGTCAGCCACAGCTCCAGTGAGTGGGGGGACCACAAGCAGCTGTCCCAAGTCACACCGACCCCCATCCAGCAGCACAGCCACGCACAAAAACAACTCGTGAACGCAGCGCTCCCGGGATTAGGGACTTAGCGTCCGCGCAGCCCTTTGAAGTTGAAAGCGCTAAGTCTGATTATTTTTAGAGAGCTCCAGCTCATTAATCCTGATGTTTGGGGCTGGATTCCCCCCTCCCAGCCCCAATTCCCAACTCGGCTCCTGAGTACGATGGAAATCCATTCCTACCACTAAATATTTGTGACTCTCTCTAAACGCACACTGGTCTCTGCCCCGAGCAGCTCCAGCACCCCGGGAAGCATGAGGGGCAGCTCCTAACACACACACAGGTATTTTTATGTAATAAAAATCCAAAAAAGACATGAGTGCGTAAGCGTGAAGTACCTTCACCTTTCCTGCAAGCCAAGTAGAAAGGTCAAATGACTCAAAAGGACTTTTCTAGCCTGACTCTAGGTAATCACCAACACTGTCCATAGGGTGAGGGGGACACGCTTAGCACGGAGCCCCTACGCTGCGGTGTGGGATCCCCCCCCAGTCCAACCCAAGCTTAAAAAAAAAAAAAAAAAAAATTAAAAAGGCAAAAAAAATTCAGAGCTGTTAAATGAACCGTTATTCCTGGGTGTGCTTCGGAGCGAGCACACCCCCACATCCAGCCGGGCTCCTCGCTGCAGCACGGAGCCTCCTCCTCTGACAAGAGGCACGAATTTGGAGGGGAGGTGGGCAGGGTGGGGGGGAAGCGCCTGGCCGGCCGCGGCCGGGGGCTCCTCGACACTGGGGGGGCTGCGCGGCGGGGTGGGAGGGTGCGTGCATGCATCACACGCTACCAGAGCCACCATCTTATCTGGGAAGCGGGATTACTTCACGCCAGCTGCAAGGGAGAAACCGAGCAAAATCGTGCTGTTTTCCCAACCGGAGCTCCCCCCTCAACACGGGGCTGACCCCGTTCCCCATGGGAGCCAGCTCTGGCGGCAGGCCCCCCCCCGCTCCCCCCCCCCCCCCCGGGGCCACCCACCACCCCGATGGGAACAAAGCAAACGAGGGGCTGCCCGAAACACGGCCCTGGGTCTCAAGGGAGGGCGGCGGGCCCCCCGCCGCAGGGGCAGGCAGGCACCGTGGGGGGTGGCATGCAATGATTTGAACACCCACCCCCCCCACCCCCCCCACCCCCAATAAAAATAAAAAAGCAATGCACCCAGGAGGCAGCAAAAGCCCAGGAGGGGCAGCAGGAAGGGGCTGATCAGGAGCGGGGGGCTCTTCCCGAGCCCCCTCCGGGATGGCTCCTTTGTCTGGGCACAGCTGCGACGCTCCCCGCCGCCCGCCCCTTCCCGCACACACCACGGCATTTTTTCCAGTTACATTTTTTCCATATTAGCCTTCAGATTTCATTATGGCCCCCCCCTACTACCCCCCCACAGCGAGCGCAGCAATACGTCTGATCTCACTGCCATAATAGGATCGGGAACAGGGATGTCAGCCCCAGCCCAAAAAGGTGTGGGAGGAGGGAGGGTGGCCCTGCTCCCCGTACCCCAACACCAAGGACAGGCCCCCGCACCCCAAATGCCCCCCTCCCCGCTGCGGGTGCACAGGCTTCCGGGCCTGCAACAGGCCTGGGAGGAAGAGGAGGAGGAGGAAGGCCCAGCCCTGGCAGCCCCCCAGCCTGCCTGCACTGGGCTCTCATCGGGAAAGGGCACAGGTCGCCTTCCCGTCCCCCCCAGGAAAGTGGGGGGGCCGTAGCATGGGGGGGGCAGTCATGTCCGGCATGTCCAAGCGGGGACGTTTTATTTACAGCCGAGTTTGTCCCAGAACTTTCAGGATTTTTTCCAATGGAGCCCACAGGTCACCCCCACACCTGCTGCTGTGCACCCCGAGAGGGGCTGGGATCACCCCAAGTGTAGGTGCCGATCCCCAAATGGTCTCAGGAAAGGGGTGAGGCCCCAGGGGAGGAGGTGTTGGGGTGGGCCATGGCCCAAGGGAACAGTGGGCACCTGTGGGGATGCTGAGTGCCCCGTGGGACACCTGGGTATCTGTGGGGTCAGCAGGCACCCCGTGGGATCACTGGACACCCACCTTAAAAAAACAGAGAGCACCCACAGGGCTCCTGAACACTCCACGGGATTCATAGCTACCTGTAGGTCCCTGTGCTATCCATGGGGTCAGCAGGCACCCCACGGGACCCCACACCACCTGTGGGGTCAGCAAGCACCCCACGGGACCAGAGAGCACCTATGGGACTCCCAAACACCCCATGATAATCATGGATACCTGTGGGTTCCTGTGCTTTCCGTGGGGTCGGCAGGCACCCCACAGGACCCCACACCACCCATGGGGTCAGCAAGCACCCCACGGGACCCCACCCCTGACAGCCCACACTACCCACGGGAACAGCAGGCACCCACAGGGCCCTATGGCATCTATGTGACCAGCAGGTACCCCCACGGGACCCCTGGAGATCCCACGGGAATCAGTGCTAACCACGGGGCCAGCAGGCACCCATGGGACCTTGCACTCGCCGTGGGACCCTATACTATCTATAGGATCCTGTGCTACCCACGGGGCCACCCGTGGGATCTAAGCTGCCCGGTGGACCCCGAGGTACCCGTGGGGCCATGAGGCACCCACGGGGTTCTGCACCATCCACAGGACCCCGGGCTACCCACGGGGCCAGGAGTCACTCCACGGGGACCCAGGGCGCCCTGGGGCCGGACGCGTGGAGGCGGGCAGGGGGCGGAGCCCCAGGGCGGATTTTGGGGGGAAAACAGTGGGTTTTGGGGGGGGGGGGGGGGGGAAGGTCCCACCTGGTTGAGGTCCTCATCGTTGAGCAGGTGGGACTCGCGGGGCTTGAAGCAGTTCTGGCACTTGCTCTTGTTGAAGATGTTGGCCTGGAACTTCCTGCAGGGGTTGTCCTTGGCGGCCATGGCGCGCCCCGCGCCCGCTGCGCGCCCGCTCAGCGCCCCGCGGAGCGCCCGCCCGCCGCCGCGCCCATCGCCCGCCCCTCACCGCGGGCCGCGGCCTCCGCCTGGCGCCCGCGGAGCGCGGCGGGCAGCGTCAAAAAAAAAAAAAAAAAAATTAAAAAAATTAAAAATAAAAGCACAACCCAAAACAAAATCCACGCACACACATACACACAAAAAAAGTTATATATATATAGAATTAAAACGGGAGCAAACTGCAAGGCGGCCGCCTCCGCTGCGGCTCAGCGGGCGCGCATGGCCGGGCGGCGCGGAGGCAAGGCAAGGGCCGCGGTGCCCCCGCCCTCCGGGGCTGGGCTGGGCCGTGCGGGGCCCCGCCGGCTCCGGCGCTGGGTGCCCGGCGCTGGGTGCCCGGCGCTGCGGCCGCCGCTACCGACTGCGCCGCCCGCAAAGTTTCCAGCGTCGGGGAGCCAGGCGGAAAAGGGGGCGGGGCCGCCGCGCAGAGACGGACGTCCCCGCCTGCCAATGGAGGCGGGCGTCCGTCGCTAACAAAAGGTGTCGCTGGCCAATGGGGTGCAAGGAGAGGGGAGGGCGCGGCGGGGCCGCCTCGGCCGTGGGGGAGGGGCGGGGCGCTGACAGCTGGGGGCGGGCTCGGCTGGGCTCGGCAGGGCTCGGCTCGACTCGGCTCGGCTCGGTTTGGCTCGGCTCGGCTCGGTTTGGCTCGGCTCGGCTCGGCTCGGCGGGGCCTTCCGTACTCTGACCTCGGCGCCGCGCAGCCAAGCTCTGCAGGGACCCCCCCCCCATCTCCGTGTGCAACCCCCCCCTCCCCGTGCACAGACCCCCCACGCACGCCCCCCCCCACACACACACGTTGTGCACCAGACCCCTTGCCTCCCACAGGCCCCTTCATTCACTAACCCATGTGTCGTGACCCCTGTGCCATGCACCGCCCTCCCCACCCCAGTGCACTGACACCCTCCCCATGCAAAACCCCCCCATACAGTGCAGTGACCCCCCCCACACTGTTCATCCCCACGCACAGCCCAGGCCCCTCCTGGCCACTCAGCAGTGGGGGGGATGCACGGTGCAACGTGTCAGGGTTTGCCCCCCCCACAGCCACCCCCCTCCCAGCAGAGGGGTGGCCCAGGGTGCAACCCCCACACACACACACACACTCGAACCACAGCCCCACGGGTGGCACAGACCCCAGGTCCCAAACCCTTGCAGCAGCAGCACTGCCCCCATTAACCCTGACCCTGTCCCCAGCCTCAGGCACAGTCCCAGTCCCAGCACAGGGCGGGGGGCATATGGAGGTGGGGTTCATCACCCGCTTGGACACTCAAATTCGGTGGGGGGCAACACAGCCTAGTGCCCCTCCTGCAGCTCTGGGGACGAAGCAGGGCCAGGGGTGCACGTCCTGCCTCAGCCACATTCCCCCCTGTGCCACCGCCCCAGGGGAACTCCTGTTTGTCCAGTGCATTTTTATCCAGTGCAAACTGGCAGCACCGGCAGGTAAACACACCCCACCGGGCGATAAGGACCGGGCGCGGGTTTGGCCTCACCGGTGCGGCTGAGGGACCGACCCACAGGCACGCACCACGTCTGGTTTTTTTTTTTCTCCCAGCCCTAATTCTGCACATCAGCCAGAGAAGGGCCGGAGCAGGGACCTCAGCGCCGGTGGAGCACCGCCGGGGCGGGAGAGAGGTGGGAACACCGGCCCCGGAGCCAGGGGGACGGGGCGAGCGTGCCAAGTGGCACCTCCAAAACACACCCCAGCCCAGCACGTCCCCCCCATATTCGGCTGCCACGGAGGCACACAGCGTCTCCTGCTCACCCCAGTATCTCCCCATGGGCATGGGACGGGGCCTTGCTGTAAGGAACAGCCGCACGGACTTTCATGGTTTTATTGGGACGAGGAAAAACCCGTCGGAGAAGAGGCGGCAGAGAGGTCCCCTCACACCCGGCACTGCCCCGCCGTTTGATGTGGGAGTCGGCCTCTGCGGCCTCGCCGCACCGGCTCCATGCTGTCATCCTGGAGTAAATAAAGACCAATGCAATTGCCTGCTTGTTTATTAATTTTCGCTTCATCAAAGACTGCTTTAATCATCTCGCTCCCTCCTGCCATCGCCACTCGCGGCACGCACAGGTGCCGATGTGCCACAGATGGGACCCTGCTCCCGTACCAGTGACATGGCTGCACCCTCACCCAGCCCCACAGCAAATTCTCGGGTGGCTCAAGCCCACATGATGCTCCCAAGAGGGACATGCAGGCTGAGAGGTGGCCACCAGCCCTGGTTTGGGTGGCTTTTCTCACTTTTCCCTCGATCCTAATGTTGTAAAAGCATCACGGACCTTCACCAGGGAAGGAGGATTTTCCCCCTCTGGGATTTACAGACCTTGACGCCCTCACTGTGGGTCCAGGGTTCACCTGGCACAAGACTACAGAACTCCTGCTCTTCAGGGAAGGGTAGACAATTTTCCTCCCTCCCTCCCTCCATCCCCAGTGCTGTTGGATTATTCCCCACCACATCCCTTGCTGAGGACCTGGAGTGTCCTGCATCCCACAGGTCCCATAGATGCCCAGTATTTTTTTTCCAAACAAAAAGCCTCTCTGCAGCTCCCCAGGCACCTCTACGTGCCATCCTTGTGGTCCCCAGCTCTTTGCCACCTCCTTGGAGCAGAGGCACAGCACCTGCAGCCGACGTGACGTTCCCTGCACGCAACATCCTCCGGCGCTTCCCAAGCGAGGCCGGGCTGAGCAGGGCAGCTGGGGGAGAGCGGGGACACCAGTGCGTGTCCCCCCACCATTGATGGGCACAGAGAGGGCAGGGACCCCACAGGCTGCTCTTTCCCTAGTGCTGTGGGGCACCGTCCCCCCAAAAAGGGGCACAGTGTTGGCATGGAGCATGGGGATGGCGTCTCCAACGCCGCGGGCTGTGCCTGCCCTGAGACGCAGCCGAGCTGCACCGTGGCTCGGGGCCACGACCCGGCACCACGCACGGCCCCACCGGAGTCGGCAGCACCTCACGGGAAGCTGCTGGTGCCGGGGCTGGCTCCAGCCTTTCCAAAAATCCAGCTGAACGGGACGGGCCTCTCCGCAAACCTGTCAGGCCACATTCAGCCGCGCCGGAGAGCCGGCGTCCGTGCACCGCCGTCCGCCCGCGTGCCGTGTTCGAGGTGTGCAGCTGGTGGGGCTGCCGAAAACTCGCTGCCGATGACCCTCGCTGCATTCCCCAGGCCCCGGCACAGGGGTCCCCCACGCTTGGTGTGGAGGTGGGTGTCCCACCTTGCCATCCCCCTCATCGCCCCCTCTGCGGGGACGCCCGGTTGGGGCAGCCGTGCATAGCAGGTCTCTTCAGCCCAGAGCCAGTCCAGAGCAGTTTTCTCAAATGAGGGCAATTAAAGTAATGGGAAAATGGAAAGTATTCATCAGGGAGCTGCAGTGGCAGAGGGGGAAGGCTCTGCGGTGAGTCAGCTATCCAAACCGAAGCCCCAGCGCCAGGTAAACAAGCTGCAAACCAGGAGGTGTTAGTCACCAACTCTGGCTGTGCCAGCCCCAGCCTGGGAAGGGCATTGTAGAAACCTTGCTGCTCCTGGAAAGAGTTCGGCAGCACCAAATCCCACCGTCAAGAGGAGAGCAGCACCCGCTCCCCGTCGTGGCATGGAGGTCCCACCCGGACCATCCACCGCCTCCGCCTGCGAGGATGTCACCGGGATGGGGACATGGTGCATGTGGCCGTGCCCCGTTTTGCTGGCGAAGATGCGATGTGGCACATTTTCCTGCAGGGCCGGGCGCTGCCAGGGCAGGAGCAGGACGGTCGGGTGCTCCTTCTGGGTGGCCATCGCTCCCCGCAGGACCTTGGGCAAGTCATTTAATCGCCCCGTGACGCCACCTCACCGTCATTACAGTGGAGCCAGACGGGTGGATGCCCAGGGGAGAGGGCAGGATTCAGGGTTTAAAGCTGGCAAACCCTTGGATCCCCACTGGATCCAGGCTGGGACTGAGCGGTTCCTGTGAGGGCTCCCCTCCTCCTGCCCTGCCCTGAGTGGAGTCCCAACCACGGGGGGCTGGATGCGGCCCCTCAAGCTAGCCAGGCTGACTGTGGGGGGGTCCAGAGCCCCCCAGCTCAGCCCTGCCTGGGGAATATCTGGCAGGGGAGCCACTGGCCAGGGGAGGTTTGGATGCCCCTCAAACCACCCTGCGTCTAATAGGGGTGAAACCCACACGTTAGAAATCTGTATGTGGGTGAAAAACACTCTCATGGATTGAGAAAAAAATCCCCCAGGCTGCCCCAGGTACTGTGTCTGTGCTCTGCCTTATCTGTGCCCAATTTTCCCATTGGGAAAACTAAAAGGACCGAAATTATCCACTGGAGGGAATCCACAGCGCTCTACTGCAGCTGATACAGCCCAGAGAGGAGGATGCAGCTTCCACAGGGCTGGAAAAGATCATGAGGATGGTCCAGGGCAGCCCTCTGCTTTGCTGGATGCACACATACACTCACACAGAGGCTTGAGCTCATCCCAGAAGCCACATTAAATCATGTCCCACCATGCAGAGATTTCCTCTTGCCCAGAGACGCCAAATGTCTGTGAGTTCGTACCCTTCTCCTCAAATTAGGCCAATGGTTAATTATGCTCCCGGTCGGGTTATCTGTGACCAGGTCCCATGGCTGCTTCCTGCCACTGGACCTCGTGGGGCTTTAGCAGGGAAAATCTGTCTCTTTTGTTCCCACACGTGCCCCCTGCCTCCCGCCTTTTGGCTGGGCTCTGCCTGTTCGGCTGGGCAGAGCCAATCCCCCTGCGCTGCCGACCCTCCTCTCACCACGAGCCTCAGCATCCCTGCTAAAAATATTGTCCCGGGCAAAATCCGATGTCTCCAGCTTCCTCCATCTCTAGCCCTCATGGCCACCGCCCCCGAGCTGCCAGACGCAGCCGTCGGATGTCTGCTCTGCTGACTCCATATAATGCAAGTTTTACAAATGAAAATGTCACATGGCTGTAAATTAAATACTTTGGAGAAACCCATTATAATGGAGCAACACAATTAGCTTTATCAGCCAGCCCAGAGTCATGCCAAAAACCAAAGCCGACTCACTTGACAGGAGCTGCCATCCATGAAACCAAGCTAACGACCTTAATTATATTTTTAGCTTCTAATTTTTGGCTGACAGTATCCCCAATTACCCAGCCCATAATTTGCCCAGGGACTGCGATCAGCCTACCTGGTCTGTAATTCCCAGGGTCAGCCCCTTTTATTCCTTTTAAATATTAGACTCCCACTGGCCACCCTCCAGCCCTTTGGAATTTCCCCAGGGTTTTTAGTGTTAAAAATTAACAGCAGAGCTCTTCAGCAGCCTTCAAACCCCTTCCTGCAAGAGTCGAAATGTCTCTCGTCCTGAGGGAATGCAGCGATGTCGGAGGTGGGGACGGGGGGGTTGTTCCCACCAGGTTAAAAATGCCGTGTTATCTCTGGCCAAAGATTGTTCTTTGACTCATCTCCCTTATCTGCTATCCACATTTTACACCTCAGCACACAGCCCTGGCACTGAAGCCTCATTTCCTTGCCCCTTTGCTATACATTTATAGGATTTTATCCTTGCTTCCCTGTCAGCCCCCAGCCACGGCGGGTCTTTTCCCATCGAGCTGTCCTAGCATTCCAGCTGGCTACTGGGTTTGGGGAGTTGGCCCTGAGAACAGCCTGGTTTTCAGTAATGCTTCCCTCTCCCAATCTGCGCAGGGTTTTGGGAGGGTGGCTCTCGCAGCATCACCCCTGAAGATGCACCTCTGGAGCCTGGCTCGCCCCGGGGGCATGGGGGCTGCCGCACCACCCGGACACCTTGGGATGACGTCCTGCTGCAGCCCCGTGGGGTGGTGGCAGGAGGAGACGGCGGTGCAAAGGGAGGAATGGAGCAAGGTGGGGTGTATGGGGGCATCTGAACCCCACCCTGCATGAGGGGCTGGTGCAAATGGGGGTGCTGGAGTCCTGCTGGCCCCAGGGAGTGGGCAGGAGCCAGCCCGGCAGCTGTGGGGCAACATCCCCCTTGGCACAGAGGCCCTGACCTGGCCGGGCGAAGGCAGGGCTGGAGTGGCAGGTTGGAGGATGTCCGGGCTGCAAAGGCAGCACCCAGCACCCAGAGGGGAGCCAGGCTGGGCTAGCCAAGGGTGCCACCTCCTGGGGAGAGACCCAAACAGCCAGGAGCACGGCTGGGCCCAGCATCACATCCCCGGGGTGCAGGAGCGGGGAGCTGGAGCTGCACCCCGGGGTTCTCCGGCCTCCCCAAACTGCCCTGTCGCTGCCCTCGGCTCCCGGCTGGGCTGCGGCATTGCCGGCAGCCGGAGCTGCTCGAGACGTGGCCGCAAGCACGCCGGGGCAGGTCTTCACCGAACGGGCCGGCCGTGGCGTGGCCGTGGCTCCGCCGCTGCGCGTGGGTGCGAGTCCTGCGTGGACGCCCCGTGTGCCGCCACGGACCCGGCCGTGCCCCTGCCCGCACCGAGAAGGAACGGGCGGCGGTGGCGGCGGCTACGGTGCAACCCCGCGGCTTCGGTCCCGTAGCAGCTCCGCGCTTTGGCAGGAGGAATCGGTGGCGGCGGGAGGACGCGGAGGGCAGCCAGACAGCTCACAGGGGATGGGCGCATCCTGACCCCCGCGCATTCGAGAGCACACGTCCGCAGGGAATTAGGGTGAAAGAAATGAGACCCAGAGCCATCTGTGCTCAGCCCAGCCTTGCAGTTGCTGGTTTCGACCCAAAATGACTCCTCTTCCCCTTCCCACCCCCACAGCCCCGTTTTTCAGGTCCCGAAGGGAGCACGTGTGCGAGAAAATGCCTTGGCCAAGACCCAGCCCTGCCCAAGAACAGAGACTGCAAAAGGCAGACGGGCTGAGGAGAGGCTGGGAGGAAAATATCCCAGCAAAGCTGCTCAAAGGAAAGGCGAGACATCCCCAAAACATTTTTGGAGCCAAACCTTATCCACCCTGCCCGCCTGTTACCTGCAGCAGTCCTTGAAGCAGTGTCACTGAGGCAAGGTCCCAGAGGAAACAAATATTTTATTGTTGGGATGAAACTGGGGTCTATCATTCCAAATAGACCGTGGCACCTCCGGAGCCATATGCAGATGGGTGCTGCAGGATGCAAAATAATGCAGAGGGGATGCTGCAGGTTGCAAAGCCACCGCAGAGGGAGGCACCACGCTGGGAGACTGCACAGGGAACTGCCGATCGATGCTCTCCCACCAGTGACACACGGCAAAGGAAGGGTTTAACCCAGGAACCCAGAACAGGGGGCTGGCGGCGGCTGCCCGCTCCCTGCCTGTGTCCCAAAGCACGGGGACAACCCCAGGCAGGGTGGGCTGGCAGCCTTGGCTGCGAGACGGCAACTCGTGGAGGGGGGGGACCATGTTTGTTGATGCTTCAGAGCCACACGCCATCCTCAGCGGCTGTGGGAGGGGGTGATGCCGCACGGGGCACGGGGGGTCAGGGTGCTGGGGAGCACGGCCGAGGAGATGGGGCTCCGGCTGTGGCATTCACCGAGAATTTTCAAGCCGAAATCACACTGCCTGATCTCTGCTCAGCGAGGAGGGACAAACCACCCCCAAGTACTTCTCAGTTCCCTCTCGAGGGCCCACCAGGGTGGAAACTGCAAGTCTCCGGCTGCTATTTACAGAGGCAGGTTTCCCCTGCAAAACCCCGAGAGCTGGAGGGCAGGGCTGGGGCCATCGCTCCAGGGCCACACTTCGCCCCGCTCAGGCAGCTCAGGCAATGCCAAAATCATGATTTCCTTTGCTGTCAGCTTTAGCTCTGCAGACGAACAGGCTGTGGGCTCTGCTGTCTGCACGGGGCACAGCGTGTGCGGGACGGGTCCGCGCAAGGACAGCCGGCACCAGCTACGGGCAGTCAAAAGGTGCATTTCCCCCCAAGCTCTTGCACCGTGCAACCTCCCACCTCTCCCAGCCATGCCTCTGGCTTCCCGCTGCCTCTCAGGACCCTCCGTGGGTTTTCCCAGTGGGAGACTCAAGCCCAGCAACGAGCCCATCCTCTGCATCAGATGCACACGCGTGTCCCCGCGGCCGCGATGTGCGTCCCCCTCCCAGTCCTCGCTCCAAGCCCCGGGGGTCCATCGCACGGTGCCGATGCTGGTTCCCTCCCTCCCGCCGGAGCTGGGACCTGATGGGTCACATCCAGCCACTGCGGGGCCAAGCAGCCGTGAGGTGCTGGGTTTCTCCGCTTTGGGTTTTTCTCCCTGTGAGCAGGTTCAGCCTCCAATGTCCCAGCAATGGGGACGGAGCATTGAACCCTGCAAGGGGCCTTTTGGGCTCTCTGGGTTACAGATCACCGGGGTAAGCACAAAGCAGGAGTTTTTGAACTGAACGGAAAAAGCCTTGATGCTGCCTCGCTGACGTTTATAGAAAGTAACAGGTATTGCTTCTTCCTTCCCCTTTCAGCTGCTTCTGCAGAAAGGTCCCCTCGGACTGAGCTGAGTCACTGTCCTGCCGTGCTCCCACCCCTTCCCAGTGCCACAGCCCAGCCCTGCCCAGCACCCCTGCGGGAAAGGGGAAGAAATCTCCAGAAATCAATGCACTACCAGTGGAAAAGGAGGAAATCAGTAACCGCACGGTCTGGCTTTGCTTTTGCTAGACATTCCCTATGGAGCATTGTGCCACCAGCCAGGTTTACCCCGGGGTATTTTGCTGCTCGGAGGCACCACCGTGGGGGCCACAGCCCGCTCCCTCCTGTGCTGGCTGAGCGAGGGCAGATGCTCAGCACCGCGGTGCTGAGCCCCAGCGCTGAGGCAGCCCTGGGAGGTGCTGCCCCGGTGCTCCTTTGCAGGTTTGCTGATCAAGCCCATTCCGCTTGCAGGGTGAGGTGAGATCTAAAAATAAATACACAGCTATGCTCTCGGAGGCTGCCAAGAGCGCAGAGTAGCTCCTTCCCTCTGTGAAAACCAAGCTGTGTTATTAATGCTTCGTGGACCTCTCCTGCCAGCAGTGAGGGCAGTGCCGGACCCCGAGCCGAGCTGGGACCTCTGTTGCAAGGCTGCACGGGACAGCACAGCCCTCCCGCCTCCGAGACACGGATGAACTAGAGAAAAAACAGCGTTTAAAGCATCTTATTGGGGCCCACGGTGTGCTCTACATGCCATGAGCAGGAGACAGGCCAGTGGCGTGGGCTGACCGTCCTGTGGACAGAGAGGGGATGGGAGCACAGAGCGGTGCTTGGTCCCGGCCGGAGGCAGGGTAGCCACGGCTGCTCTGGCCGGTCCTCGGTGCCGGGTGGCATCGGCAGGACGCTCCCCGTGGGGTTCTGTGCTGTGACACAGAGCCCTGGCAAGGGGGGACGTGCCCCTCTCCACCCGCAGCCCCGTGGCTGCACGGCCTCCTGCTCCGACACTGCTCCTTCTCGGCAAAACCCAGGAAAGCAAAAACCCACAGGGTCACCCGCCGGCTCTCCTGTCTCAGGGCAGCCGTCTCCTCTAGAGCGCAAAACATCCTTCTCTGCAGAAGAAAACATCCCACTGCAGCCAGGCAATGCAAGGGCAGGTGCTGCAGAGCCCCCACCCCTGCGAGCCCCCCTTGCAACGTGGCCACGTAGCCCAGGACACCCCTCCCTGCACCCAGGGACACACCAGCCTCCCTCCCTGGCCCCCGTGCCCCCGGCAGCCCCGGGATGCCCGGCGAGCCAATGCAATGCACCGTGCGTGCGGCCGATTTGCATCGAAGGGATAAGGGGAAACCCCAGGAAACGCATGGCCCAGGCATTAATCAAATCTATCTCTAATAATAAACCTCCTGAGCAATGTGCAGGCTCGAGGCTGGAGCTCGCAGTGCAATGGCAGGAGCCAAGGGGGACTAGACGCCGCGGGAGAGTCAAACGTGAGTTACCCGATGGAGGGGCTGAGTGGGGAGATGGGGGCGAGGGGCTTGTCCATGCCAAGATGGGGGGGCCACGGTGACAGTTCCATAGCACTGGCAGGGAGCAGAGGGTCTCCTTGAGCTCTCGCTGGAGCGGCAGAGCCGCCACACTGGGCTCCCAGTCTGCTGAAGATGGTCGGTGCCGTGGGGCTGGAGCTGAAATGGTCACTTAAAGCTTTGGAAGAGGGGTTCAGAGGGGAGTTTGGGGTGCTCATAGTTGGTGGGTGCAGAAGGGGAGATGCACCATGCCGGGAGCACCATGCGTACCTCGGGGCTCCCTGGGGACGGGAGCTCAGCCATCAGGCAGGATTTTTGCTAAATGGGGCCAAACACCCACTTTGGATCTGGCCCCGTAGCAGAGCAGCAGAGGGGAAGAAGCTGCCGAGCCTGCAGCCCCCCGGCTTAGGCCCAGCCCCAGATCTCCATTTCCCATGCAGTCACCCCATGTGAAACTCCATCATAATGCAAGGATGGCCGGGCTCACCGCCATCCCCGGGGCTTAACATCATCCCCAGGGCTCACCATCACCCCTCGGCAGCTTCTCATTCTTCTCTTCGGGTACAAAACATCTTAAAAGAGCATCTGAGGAGAGTGCTGGCCCGAGCCTCACTCTGCCCTGAGGAATGTCTTCAGTCAGCTCAACGGAAAGTAATTATTTAATATTATAGCAATATTAATTGAACAATTGGGACTATAAGGCCAGAATCTATGAGCAGAGTGGATTTATCCCGGAGAATGGGAGGGGTTTACATGTGCTGCCCCAGGTAGGAGTCAGTTCATAGCTGGAGCAGAGGAAGCCCGTCCTCAGCCCCTCTGCAGGGAGGGTGCTGTGCAGGCGACGGCAGGACAGACAGACCTGCAAAGTGCCCGACTGCTGCCTGCTCCCAAGTACTGGAGAGAGAGAGGGAGAGATTCCCACCAGAGTACAGGGAGTTGTCTATATAAAAATCAAAGTTTGGCTTTGCAATGGCTGCAGGGCAGAGGCTGTGGCCGAGGCGACGCATCATCGGGGGTTTTTAAACCTTTTGGGCTCCGGCAGCACCGGCATCGTCCGCCCGTGCAGGAAAACAGCTGCGGCTCCGCAGAGGGATGCGGTCGCCCACGAGCCCTCTCAGTCAGCAAACGGCACATTTCCACTGCGGCCGCCCTCGTGCTGGGTCAGTGCTTCCTGCAGTTGCTCGGTCACGCTGGCTGCAGCCCCTGCGTGTGGCACGGCGCGGCAGCAGGTACCGCTGAGCGGTGGGGGATCAGCAGGGGCACGGCCAGGGACCGAGACCATCGCTCAGGTCGCCTCCAAGGCCAGACCTTGCACTGGGGACAGGTGAGACTGCAGGCAAGAGGCACGCACAAATATTTCAGCTGCTGATAAGTAAAGGCTCATTCGCAAGCTAATTCTTAAAATTGTAAGCTGTTGGCTAGATTTTCGTGCGGCTGAGGGCTGCTGCTGATGCTTTGTGCCTCTGCCTGTGGCATCACATCCAGCCCGTGCAGGGACGAGGTGCACCGTGGCGGAGGAGGACGGGACAAACGGCTCCTCGTGGGGACAAGAGCACGTCCACCCCCAGGCATCCAAGCTGGTGCTGGTTAAGCCAGTGCTTAAAGCTCTCCCAGAGAGAGGTCCCTCCTGCAGCTTAGGGGAGTTTTACACATCAAAACCGGGTTTCATTATGATGCCAGAACACCAAAGGGAGATGTCAGAAATTATGCACAGGATGGCACAAACTGCCCCGACGCCACAGAGGAATTCAGAAGTTTCCAGAATTAAAAACTGCTTCAGAAGACGTTGCCAGTGACCATTCTGGTTGTATTTCTGTTATTTTCAGAAAAGCATATCCAGACAGGAGTGGTCCCCACTGCTCTTACTCCTGCAGGCAGATGTGTGCATCCCCAGACCCTCAGGGCGCAGCACAAGGCCACCTACAAGCCAGGGTGGTCTCCCTGCGTGTCCCCAGGGACCAGCACAGGACGTGGGCATGTAGGGTTATCATTTGAAGAGCTTCCTAAGCCTGAAGCAGATTTTGCTGTAAGCTCTTGCCCAAGCCTAGCACCAGAGAGGGTTGGGCACAGTTGGGTGTCCCTTTAGGAGGGGTCCCAGCCCTAGCAAAGGGACAAGGTGGCTACAGGGCAGCCCCGTGGTGGCCACCCCCCGTAGCCATTCCTCTCCCGTTCCGCAGCCATGGACGGGACGTGCGTCGGGTGGGATGCCATGAACAACTGCACCGATCAGCAGTACTGGGACACCCTCGTCTGCCAGTGCATCCCTTGCAGCCTCGTATGCGGCCGGCCCACAGTGAGGAGGTGTGCTGCCCTGTGCGGTGAGTGCGGGGCTGCCCTCGGGCCGAGCAGGCAGCGACGGGGCAAAGCTGGGAGCGGGGATCAGGCCCTGGGATGAGCCACAGGGCGGGCTCCGAGCCAGCTCAGCTTAACAGAGCTTTGAGCCAAAAAAAGGCTGGGGAACATGAGAGCTTCCCAGCGACGGGCTGGGTCTGGCAACAGCTCAGCACAGACCAGGGTCAAGTTGCCCACGTCCGTGTACAGCTCCTGTCTGGGGTCCCAGGGAGTCTCCCCAGAGCTGCAGCAGCACTCATATCCCCCACCAGTGACACCCCACCCTCCAAAGGCACGGCCTCGAGATACATCAGGTAATCAGATAATGATAAACTCAAGCTGCAGGTTTGCAAGGCTGCGCTGCGAGCCCTGTGCTGGGGCAGACACCGAGGTGTAGTGATAACAGGTGGGGAGGAGGAAAAGAGATAGATGCACTTTGCACCCAAACCTGCACACAGCCCCGTGCACGGCCCCTTCCCTCCCCAACAAGTCACGGTCTGGAGCTGCTGCACCCTTGTCCCAGGGCCCAGAGGACCCAGCCCTGCGCCGCGGCTGCATGCAACAGCAAGTCCCATCTCCCTGTTGAGGATAGGAGATGCCATCCCCAGGGTCCTGAGCCAGTACTCTGGAATGTTTTGGTCTGTCCCAAGAAGCTGTGCAAACCCCAGGGCGGCAGCAGCTCAAAAAGCAGCAACCAGGAGCTCCCTGCCGCAGGTGGGTACAGCTGCATGCGTCTGGCTGCGTACCGTCCCCTCCCCGGGGGGCTGCCAGCAGATGCCTTTCCCCAATTTTCATCACCCAACCACACACCGCTGCAAATCCCCTGGATCTGTCACCCTGCCAGCCCCGGAGCGTGCAAGTCTCGCCCTGCGCCCGTCAGAGCTCTGAGCTTGTTCAGATCGGCTGCGGGCTCGTCCTCGCACAAACCAGGGCGGGGTGGTGGGAGGGCAGCAGTTTGGGAGTCCCGTGCTCAAGTGACAGGGGAGGAGGACGCGCTCGGGACACCCTGTTCACCTCCCTCCCCTCCCGCAGAGTCCATGGACTGCGACAGGAGAGCCGGCTTCTACTATGACAAGCTCCTGAAAACATGCATCAACTGCACCACGGTCTGCGGGCAGCACCCGAAGCAATGCGCCCCGTCCTGCGAAGGTAAGGCTGCGAGCGAGGGCAGGCAGAGCTGGGGTGTGGGGCAGGACCCCCCAGGGCTGGAAGAGGAGCTGGGTTACAGGGTGAAGCCAGGGAAGGGGCAGCAAACCCCTCTCTTCGTCCTGGGCGGGGGGGGGGGTTGTGCATTGGCGTGCAGCCATTTCACTGGGATGGGGGAAAGGAAAAGCAAGGCGTCTGTCTCTCTCCTCTTTTCTCCATCATACAACTTCATCACAGGGTGCATTGTCCCCTTTCACGTGTCGGTGGTTTCCAGACCTGCCCTTCAGCTCTCTCAGCCAGGGGAAGGCTCAAGCAGTTGCATTTCCCACCTTACTAAGCTGCCTCCAGCCCTCGGGGAGGGGAGCAGGAGGGAAAGGGGTTATTTTCCCTGAGAGCTGCAATTCCCACATTGGGGTTGAGACGCGATCACCGGGTGGGAGGGTGGGGATGAGGAGTGGGAAGGGGTCTCCTCTACCTCACCATGGAAGAGAAATGCAAGCGAAGAGGCGGCGCATAGCTGCTGTCAAATTCTCTCTGCTCAGAGTACCCAAGTGCCGTCGGCGCTTTCCCTATCAAAAAGTTAATAGTGTGAAGTGTGTACTCGGGGCTGGGGGTGTGTGTGTGTTTCTAAGCACACCCATCTCTGCCTGGCCCACAGCAGGTGCTCTGGGGGCCACCCCCCCTCCGCCAGCCGCCCTGGCCACGGCCTCGCCGCCGGCGGCCGTGCTGGAGCAGAAGGCGTGCGCGGAGCAGGAGCCGTGGCTGGTGGTGTATCTGCTGCTGGGGCTCTGCCTCTGCGCCCTCATCTGCTCCCTGCTCCTGGGCTGGACCCACTTGCGGAGGAAAGGAGAGGTGGTGTCCTGCCAAGCCAGCGCTGGGACCTGCCACCGCAGGGAGGACTCCTCCAAAGGTGAGTGCTGGCTGCACTGGGGGGGCTGGGAGAGGATGGGGAGCTTGTGGGGGGACAGGCTCCCAGGTACTACGGGGAGGGGCAGGAAGCAGAGCCAGTTCATAACAGGAGTAGGGAGGAAAAGTAAAGCCAGGGATGTGCAATGTGGTTCAGTCTGAGCCGCGAGGAGGAGCAGGACAGCAGCCCCGTGCCCTGATTCTCCACCGCAACCCCCTTCTCAGTCACTCTCTTGCAAAGTCACAGCTTCCCACTGCCACGCAGGGGCTGGAGCTGCGGGGTCAACCAGCAGCTCTCTGGTCTCCATCCGAGAGAGGCAGCTGAGCTGGAGGGAGGAGGAGTTGCGAAAAGCCAACCCTCTTCCGAAATGAACCACCTGCCCAAGGAAGACCCAGGGCTCTCGCCACGATTGCAGCAAATGGGCTGCTCTGGGGCAAACTGCTGCCCGGCAAGAACCACGGTAACGCAGGCTACTTGCTCCTTCAAAGAGGCTAATGAGGCAGCTGCTCTGCTGAATTATCTTGCAGTAACAAACGCTGAAGTTTTAGCTCTGGAGCAGAGGGGCTTCACAAGTCTTTGCTTTAGGGAGAAAAGCTAGGGAAAGGATAACATGCAGTAAGTCAACAGAGAAAAGATGTTTTTATTCTCCCTCCTCCCCTGCCTTTAAAATAAAAACGTCTGTCTACCTATTGCTGTACAGACATACATGTTTACATACGTACACTCCAAAGCCAGTCACGGTGGAGATCAAAAATCACGAGCCCGTGCGTGGCTCGGAGTCACTCTCCAGCAGAACTGTAAATCAAACCATTCCTATTGGCTTTGGTTGAAGGACACGGTGGCACTGAATGTTCGCTTTTAAGGGAGGCCGCCAGGTTCAAAGAGATTTACTGTGCACTTTTTAATGCCCTGAGCCTAACCTTGCTTATCAGATCTCGGAGGACGGAGCAGAGCCCTGCGACAGCCAGCGTCCAGCCCGCAGAGCGCTGTGGGTCCCATGAACTGGCCGTGGGCAGCCAGCCTGCCTCGCCCCCCGCGCTGGAGATCTGGCACAGCGCTGCACCACTGCATTTCTCTATGCTATAAAAAGCAGCATTTAATGAAAAGACAATCTGCATGTAACGTTACAAATATGACAATTGCTTTGGCACTATCCCTCCGGCCTTCCTGTTGGAGGCACCTTCCAGTTTCCCCCCTCAGCTCTCACCTCCCAGGGTGGCAGGACTGGGTGTGAGCGTGGGGGCGATCCATTACACACACCACACAGTGCCGTGGGCTTTATCGAAGCGGTGGGAGGTGGATGTCCCCTCCAGTTCCAGGCCTGGCCCTTTATAGGCTCTAGTGCAGCACTGCAAAGCCTTTCTTGGGTAAAAGGTGCTCCTAAAAACCCTTGAACTAATACACAGGGTTTATTTGCAGATCGTCTGGTGGAAGCGGGCAGCGTTGGTGATGGATCCACGGGCAGCAGGGTCCCAGAGCCGGTGGAAACCTGTGGATTCTGCTTCCCAGGACACAGCTCTGCCGTACAAGAGACCAAATCATGCCACAGCACCTCCTACCCCATAGGGGAAAGAGCTGCTCCCTCTCACACCGGGATATGCAGCACGGGAAGCGCTGGGGCCATTCCCAGCCCTGACGACGGCCACTTCAAAATCATATGTTCTCCTTCACAAGAGAAGACGCCCATGGCGTGACCGTAGTGAATGTTCCTGCACAGGATCAGAAAGGAGGGATGCTCCCTCTGCCCCCAAAACACAGCTGCTTCACCCTCCGTTTCCAGTGACTGTAACAGCTTCTACCAGGACCGGTGGACCTGGCAGTCTTTGCCCAAGGGCTGTAGGTTACAGACAGAGCTGTTTTCTTCCACACAGGAAATTAAATTCTCGTTATTCTCATGCACTTCCAGTGATAGAAGTCGCTTCCCATTTAGCAGGGTCTTCATCCTCCGACTTGACCTCTGCAGACTCCTCTGTGCATCCCAGTCCTTGGGAGTGACGTCTCATTGGGGCTTTTCATCGTGGCTCCACCATCACCATCACTTTGTCTCTGCAAAGGGGGTTGATGCAGAGCCAGGATCAGACTGTGGTGTCCACCAGTCCCCATGGAGAGCATACCTTCCCCTGCTTGAAAACTCTACTGTGCAACACAAGCGCTTTACAAGCAGAGCTGTAAGCATCTTAAACATGGACTCAGACCCAAGAAAATTATAATGACCACCGAACGCCACTGCCAGGCTCTCAAGAGTGGCGTGTTTTCTGACTTTACCAGAAGTTTCTTTACATGACAGAGTATTTGGTAAGACACAATGCAGAAAGCTCCACTGCCAGCTTCCAACACTGCTTGGGACGGGAGGAGCTGGGACAGGCACCAAAATCCACGATGGAATTGAGTTTAAATGTGAAAACTCACCCAAAGCCGAGAACCTGCTAAAATACTATTTATGTACATCTGGTCTGAGTTACTCAAAATAGCTGGTAAAAGTGATGAACCAGCTAGAGATAAGAGCTGCTTTGAGGGAACATTTTTATTTGACCTGGCTTTGAAAGCTACTATGGAAAAACATGGGTTTCAACACGTAACTTGAAGTTCTCATTTTCACTAAAGGAGAATGTAAAAATTTTGCGCTTGATGAGAAATCACTCCTGGTAGTTGTTCATCCTCTTCACTTTCTAGGACTAGAGCTTCAAACTTGGAAGGATAAATACAAGTCAACATATGCACAACTTGCTGGGAAAGTAGATGGCTGGAGAAAACATGAGCAGATAGTTATAACAGACTCTGTCCCCTCCATACTATGTATTTCTTCAAATGTCAATGTCTTCTTATCAGTAAAGGAGGCACCACCTGGGGGGTGACCATGACAAAGCCAGTGCCATTGAGTGATGTCTGGTCACAGAGCAGAAAGGTGTTAGGGCCACATAAAACCCATTAGAATGAGAAAGCGCAAGAGGTGGTTTAAGGTGAGGACTAAGAGCCCATGTGTTGGTCCAACAGCTGGTACATGGGGAAAAGTTTTGCTGTCTTGAATTGCTCCAGGAACCAACCTGGCAATTCTTCGTCTCGTTATCCTTGCGTATTGCCTGTCATCTCTTCCCTGTTTAGCAAAGTCCTTATCCCACAGTAGCACGAGGGATGAGTTTTGTATTGTGCTGCATCTGCAGCTGAAGGGACCAAACAAGCCTTTTCCAAAACCGAAATTTCGTTTTCTTCAGATGGGTCTCCTAAGCACAATGGGTGAGCCCCGAGGTCACCACCTCATGGTGCAATGGGCAGAGCAAGGGCTTGCCCCTGTGCCAGGAGAGCAAAACACAGGCCCTGGCCATGACCAAGCTGCTGGTGGGGGACGGTGACAGCGGCAGCTTCCACCCGCTGAGCCTCTTACCACCTCCCACCCTCAGTCCACGGGCCTCCTATCCTTCCTTGATCTCCTACACTCTCACCCTCCATACCTCCCCTCCCTCCCACTCTCTCAACCTGAAGCTCCTCTTGGCCTCCCCGCCAGCTCTGTCTCCCACTCCCTCTTTGCACCTCCTCTCGCACAGCCACCCACCCCGGGCACTCCCAACTCCGTAACATCATCTTCCACGGCCTCAGCTCCTGTCCTTTCCCTCCTGTGGGCTCTGCTCCAACGGCCTCTGGTCTCGCAGCAGGACTTCCTGCGGCCTCCTTCCCCCCCACCTCGGCTCCCGCAGCCTCTGACACCATGACCCCAAATTCTGTGGCATCATTAGCATCCCAGTTCCTCTAAACCTCCCTCAGTCTTTCAGCCACCAAAGCCACCTCCGCCTACGTGCGCGCTCAGCCTCAAGTCTTCCTCACCCACCTCTGGCCTCCCACCACTGCTCAGCCTCAACTCTTTCACAGTCTCTCCCACCCCCTTTGGCATCAACTCTTCCACCTCCCTCAGCCCTGCCCCTGTTCTCCACCAGGCTCCTGTTCCTGCTCGCTCTTGGCCTCTCCTCTGCTTCCATTCCTGCTCTGTGTCCTGCTCCCTCCATGGCCTCCTCCAGCATCGCATCTTCTACTCTCACTGGGCCTCCCACTCCCGCCCAGCCTTCCCACCAGTCTGACCCCCCCACTTAAACTGGGCCTCCCCAGCACTGGAAGTGCCGCCTTTCTTCTTTTTCTTGGTTTCGCCTCCCCCTCTCAGCCTCTGCAGGGTGAATCACAGGATGGTTTAGGTTGGAGGGGACCTTAAAGCCCATCCAGTCCCAACCCCCCTGCCCCGGGCAGGGCCCCCTTCCCCCAGCCCAGGGGGCTCCCAGCCCCGTCCAACCTGGCCTTGAACCCTTCCAGGGAGGGGGCACCCACAGCTGCTCTGGGCACCCTGGGCCAGTGCCTCACCCCCCCCCCCAGGGAACAATTTCTGCCTTAGATCTCATCTAAATCTCCCCTCTTCCAGTTTAAAACAGTTACACCTCGTCCTACCCCCACCCCCTGATCCAGAGTCCCTCCCCACCTTTCCTACCCCCCCTTTAAGCCCTGGGAGGCCACTCGAAGGGCTCCCCGGAGCCTTCTCTTCTCCAGGCTGAACCCCCCCAACTCTCTCAGCCCGGCCCCCCAGGGGAGCTGCTCCAGCCCCCCCAGCATCTTCGAGGCCTCCTCTGGCCCCGCTCGAGCGGCTCCGTGTCCTTCTGCTGTTGGGGGCCCTAGAGCAGACACAGCACTCCTGGTGAATTACCCTGGGGCAGCACCAGCAGGCCCCCCCGGCACCAGGGTGGGGAAAGCCCCCAGCCCCAGCGCTTCCCAGTGTGGATGGGGGCTCCAGAAGGAAACCCCTCGTAAGCAGACACGGCCCCTTCCCAGCACAGAGCTCCTGCGGGCAATGCTGGGGCCACGCGGCTTCAGCCCGGCTCCGGTGCCCTGCGAACTTTCAAGCGTCACCTATGGGAACCCCTGGCCATACTACGTGTGCAAGGAGACTCGGTACCTTATTTAAAAATAGGATAGCAATAACTGAACGTGCGCCTCCCGTTTTGCAATTAGGGCATCTCTTGAGGATCAAGAGGCATCAATTATTTGAATGAGAAAGCTTTTCGGAAAGCGTTTATGCCAGCCAGCGCAAGAGCTCGCTCTGCCTGGCGTTGGCAAGCGGCGGCTCCTGCTCCAGCTGGCCCAGGAGGCCACTCGCCTTCTTGGTCCCAGGCAAAGCCCATGCTGGGCTGGGGCTGTCCCTCCTGTCACCACGGGGCCTGGTGTCCCAAAAACCAGGGAAGGTACTCACCAGAAGCCAAGCCCTTGTCTCCAGCCCCCATACACAAGAGGGGAGCACTCCTCACCCTCAGACATGTCCCCCACCCCGCTTCAGGGAATGTAGCTACAGTTATCAGCATTTAAAAGAAAATGTGACAAGGAGAAACTTAAACAAAGCAGTAGTGAGAATGATATACAGGGTCTCAGCTACAACTTGTTGATGCTGGAGAACCAAGAGGAGTCAATGGATTTGGCATCATGTTTGCAGCCACTGGCCCATAGCTCTGATGGTGCATACCTGGAGACATCCCTTGCAATACCAGAGGGACATGGTTAGTATGGGACCCAAGCAGGGACCAGCTGGGACTAATTGCACCACATGGAATTAAGGGCACTGACTTTGAGCAAGAGCATCCACCCGGGGGTTTAACCAGTTCTCACATTTTTGCTTTTGCCCAGTTTTTCATTACGCACCAGCATCAACTAAAGCTTTAGCTCTAGTCGAGTTGCTGAGGGACAAGAAAATATTATACCTGAAGTCACTTTCTGGCTATTTTTGTGCCCTGTGTAGAGCTGTGTTCATTGCTGGTAGGTAACAGAATACACACTCCAGCGTGAACCTGCATCACCATATCAATCTTCGTTTTCAGTTATTTCTGCAGATGCTTCCTCACAACAGACCAAGCTGTGCCGATATGATACTGTACCTCACAATAAGCAAGTCGACCCCAAACTGCTCCCTGAAATGAAGAGGGTGAGCAGCTGAAGCAGTGCAGTCATCACTCAGGGAGTCATAACTTCATCAGCCGTTCGTTAGCACCTGGCTGCACAGCAAGGCATTGTGCGGTTCGGCGTTTTCCTACAGGTGACGTTAAGAGAGTTGTGTACAGAGAAAGCTCCTTGTTCTGTAGGGAATAAACCCAGTGCAGGAGCTGCGTGGCTGCTTCTGAAGAGATAAAGAGAAGGCTGTGTTAGAGGAAAAGCATCGTGAGGGGTTTGTGCTGCTTGTATGACAGCAGCTGTTCTTCCATTTTTATAGGAAGAGGGAAAATGCTCTCTCCTCCTCTGGCAACCTGCACTGATTTACTATTGCTGGAAATAGAAACATGCCTGGTACAATTCAGGGAGGGACACAGGGGGCGGGATGGCAGGGGGGAAAAAAAAGAGTAAGAGCTTTCAATACACCAGGAATTCTGCTTTTGAAACCAGAAACAGAGCGCCGAAATCTCCCACCGACAACCATCTGCGCTGATGCAGTTGCACAGAGCACAGCCCTCTTCACCAGCCTTAGAGGGTGGGGGGGGGGGGGGAAACAAAAAAACAAAACGAAGGTTGATTTATATGGCTGGCCTCATCCCTAAACAATTTGTTTCTAAAGGATTAACAAAGCAGACTGCATTAGCTCCGGTGGCCAAGCGCGTGCTAGTGGAAAACAGAATTCATTTATTCAGGCTCCAGCATCAAAAAAAAAGCAGCCAAAGGCTCAGACCTGGGCGTCACAAAGCAGAGGCATCTCCGCACCCAAAAGCCATCGGCCGCACGGTGGCACTGCTCCTCCAGCACAGGACAAGGTGGGGACGCCAACTGCAGCAGCCCTGGGAATAATGAAAGGCTGATTCTTGTCTTCCTCTGCAAGCTTGCTGCATTATTAAAAGGTAGCAGAGAGCGTCGTCGAGCATCTGCACGCTACCGTGCCCGATTCGGGCAGGGAGGGGCCCCCTTTCCTCCGGGGGCACCATTCATCTGCATTTCCCCAGCAATTTTTCATCCGTGACAAGAATGCTCAGGTTGAATCCTGCAGCACCCAATTACAACTGGAAATTATTTCAAGCATGACGATAGGGAAAGACAGGTTACAAAACCAGAGTACACTATCACTTCTGCAGAAATCAGGCTGCCTAGGTAACTCCTACGCTGTACGGTACATTTTCTATGTCTGATTCAGTAGTCAAGGTGCTTCTATTAGTTGTGCCTTCTTCCTTCCATGTTGCAAGCTATTGCAGAAATCTCCCGACGTACAAATCTGCCTCGTACTCTCTTCCAGTTTGTGTACAAAGCAAATGCAATTCCACCGTCCTTTTGTTCAGCTGCTCTTGTAAGATGCTAATTTAAAAAACAAACCGACCCGCTTCCCTTATTTCCCTCCTATTTCTTCTGTCCATCAGACCGTTTTTCACCTCTGTCTCAGGCAGGTTAGACACCTGTAACTCGTTTCTAGAGCACAGAATCTAAAAGGTTAGACCCATCCATGGTTTTGACCACACTGGTAAAGTCAAAGAATAGCTGTCTGGATGCACATGCAGAGCTTAATGAGCTTTTTGGGGTGGCTCTTACACCAATTTACACAGCGCCTCTTACACGTAGCTCCCTATAGGTTCCATAAGGAAGGGAGAACAAAGTTATTTTTGCTCATTTAAGCTCTATGTTCTGAATGGTTTCCCTCGCAGGCTGCAGTTCAAACCCACAGCCCAGCCTCCCGAGAGCAAGACACAGCACACAAGCAGCTACTGCTGGAACCTCGACCAGCCAACACCACGGCGGAGCGGGAGAAAAGGAGCAAAACTGCATTTTGTGACAAAGCAGGAGTACGCTGGTGCACCAAGTGCTGCAAGCTAAGGACACCGAGACAGAGGCTGCGATTCTGCAAGGAGGAGAAGAGTACGTGAGGAGTTAATACATGTGGGAGGATACAAGGAACCAATACCAGCCTAGCACATACCAGGAAAATGTGTTGTTTACTTAAAAACCCAGTGCACTGCAGAAGTGCTCAATAGCAGCAGATCTATCGCTCGATGCTGCCCCCAGCAGCAACCGTTTCTAACAGATGGTACATTTTTCAATGCTGAGGTTCTCTCGAGTGTCACAGATATGCCTTTGGAAGGCAGCAGGGGAAAAAACCAAACCAAAAACAGCAACAACAAAACAAGCAATTTTGAGAAATTCAAACTTATTCACAAGATTTAAAAAAAGAACCAAGACCACTCTTACAGTATAAACACGCCAATTCATTCATTTTTACTGATGGTTGCATTTATGAATTTCATTCTCGTGAAAAAAGGGAATAAAAGGAAAAAAATTAAGAAAATAGCTATTTATAGAAAACAAAACAAAAAAGGGCTCAAACAGAAAAGAATCTGTGCTGATGCTTTTGATGAGCAGTCCGATGGCATTAAACATTACCTGTGCAAGCAGGCATGCTTGAAAACCTGTTTTAGTACTGTAGCTTCAGTTCCACAATCCAGGATTTCTTTTATGGTTGTTGAAAAAAAAGAGCCTAATAGTTTCATACTGTATTTATTTAATAACTAAAATTCACAAATAAAAAGATACTTGCAAAGTCCTTTAGTTGTGTCATCCCCTCCTCCTCCACTCTACTGCTTTCAGACCCATATGCATAAAAAATGGGCTTGGATTTTTAATTTTAACTGTTATATGATTGGTCGTTGGAGCTGAAGCACCAAATGGAGAAGATGCTTTATGGAGATGAGGGTATAGCCCCTTGCCTTCCCACACACATTTTGGAGGAACATAGGAGATGTACCAGTGCCCGGACTCCTCTGCTCCCATTTCCCCCACCCAGAGCATTCCTTTCATTTTATATTTCCTCTGTTAAGTGACTGACTGTAGCCTCTTTTTTTCCCCCTTTCTGTCCTTGCGGGACTGCATACACGTTGGACATTGTTCATTTCTTACTCCGCCAGGCTTTGAGTCAGTGTCAAGTAGGTCCTGTTACAGCTCAGTGCTAGTTGTTTTTTAATGGGTCTTTTCATTTCAGGTAGGTTTGTGTGTCGATTCAGAAGGCTTGCTTGTTTTCCTCCTTGCTTATATCTGACAAGCTGCTGGATAAGGCTATTCATACTCCAGGAACTGTTTGTGATAGAACAGCAAATATCTGCAAGAAAGCAGAGGTACAGTTTCAGCTTTCTGTTATGCGTCGGAGCAGATTAGTATTTCCATTGATGAGATCATAAAAAATGAGGACTATTAATTTTGTTTTCCTTTTCAATTTGAAGCGATTCCAGGGACGTGCCAGTTCCCTACAGTAACCATGGATGAGAAGGAGGGAAGCCACCAGACATAATTTTATCAGCAACTCGGGAAACTGAACAGTCGTACATCAAACAGCCAAACTTTCTTGTACAATCTACTTAGAACCCGAAAGCTCTGGAAGATTAGACTGTGTTGGTGCCCAGACAGGCAGCATCCCTTTAACACTATCATGACACAAAATACAACAGAGGTGCTTTAAGATGCAACTGGTGCTTTAGAGTCGCATTAACTAAGCATCAGACACTTGGGATTACTGCAAACTGTCTGCCATTTACTGTTAGGGAAGCAAAACGAAGAACCAGGAATGTGGGTGAAAACTCATGTCCCAGTCAAATCGAACTCAAATACCTCATGTCTCAATCTGTACTCAAATCTGGTGTTTTAATAGGATGAAATTCCTCCTGTCCTTAATTACTTTATGTGTACTGCTACGTAACTGAGTCCAGCCCTTGAGCAGTTACATGTCAGAGCCAAGTGGACTCATCTCTACACACCCTTGACAGGACACACACTGACAGGGTCACCGCATGACTCTCTTAAAATGCTTCAACGCACTTTGGAGATTTTCCAATTATTGTCGTTCCATGTCACACCCTATGGAGCTTCCTTTATACAATGCAGATCTACTTAGTGTCAGCCTTTTATCTGAACCAGGGAAAATGGATCAGAGCTCAAACCAGCCGTTAATGAGATGGATGGGCAGCAGTTGCGGCGCGTTTCCTCCCCTCCTTCCCTATGGCAGTTTCTGCCACAAACACCCCACCTGAGGACCAGAGCTAGCCACTTGTTCTTGAAGAAAAACAAACTCGTCGCTCTGCTGACCTCAAAGCACGTTACCTTGTCAAATCATTTAACATTAAAATTCAGATATTATAGGATAGATTTTTTCTTTAACTTCCTGGTTGAAGTTCCAAAAATGAAAAAATGGGAAAATACATTAAAAAAAATTACAAACTGAACATCTGTGCCTGCTGCAATCCATGGAAGTGTCAGGAATAATTAAAACAAGAATAATAAAGGCTCATCTTTCCAGTACCAAAGCCATTGTTGAAAATGCAAAACGAAGACTTCAGATTTTAAGTTACCTTATTCTTAGAACATATACCAGTCCCCAATGCTTCCCTCAAATAAGCAACACCAAGATGCGTCCCTTGCAAACTACTGTTCTGCACTCCCAATACTTGTCTAATGCAAATATCTGACACCATAATGTCAATCTGAAATCAGTTTAAAGACATGAGCTAAGAAACAGCTCATGTTCTGTACCTGGCTCCCATATAGCCTTCCCACTCTGGTTCGTGGTATTTTCTTAATGGCTTTTCTTCAAATCTTTTACAGTCACAGTAATCCAAAGGTTCTGCAGACAAAGATTGGATTGCGACATGCAGATAAATACTGCTCCTACACTGGATGATCATATCACTTTTGTTTGCAGAGTCCCTTCTGTTACCAAGCAAGAATTTGGACATGAGCATCAGTTACAGACACTGCAGAGTCAGCTGATGTCTCTTATCCTTCCCCTCTTCTTCCTTCAACAAATCCAGGATATAAAGCAACATCCTGAAGCACTGATATATACACAGAGAGATACATTAGATAGTCAGAGAGAGATTAAGTCTTCTCTATGATGAAAGGGTCTTTTAACTGAAAGTAAGGAAAACCCAAAGGTCAAAGCTTCCCTTCCTTTCCCCTTTCCAGTTCCCAACTTACCCTTCACTGTCTAGCACATCCTTAATGCTAGCCTTTGTGATAATGGCATCATCACACTTGAACCACTGGTCCTTGTGCTGCCGGATGAAGCTGGTATAGTGCCCACTCTCCAAGGTTCCCTGGTGATTAACTACTGCAAACAAGGAATACCTGGTACAGAAAAGAGTTCGTGAATATGTGGATCAAAAGGGAAAAAACAACTGACGTTTTAGACAGGCAGAAGCTTGTGTTCATAAACACATATAGCAATAGTAAAGGCTCTGATCCATCAATAAAACACCAGCTCTTAACATTAACTGGGAAAAGAACCACATTTTTCTTTTTCTGTTTTGCTATTACTGCAATGCTCCAGTCTGATGACAGCTGTCAGCTTTACCAATATTGGCTACCAAAGATTCTTCTTCTAAAATAGTTCAATATTGATGCATTACTGAAGAGGACCACTGATTATCTAGTCTGATCTCCTATTTCCCTGAATTAGTTACTCTAGTGAGCCAGAAAAATGCATTTGAGGAATCGGGATGGAGGTAATCTTAAATATAGCTAATCTTAAATATTTCTAGTGATAAACTGCTGTACTGATTAATTGTCCTTAATCTGGAAAGTCTGTATCTATTTTGAAATACTGGATATATTCAGCCTCAACTTCCAGCTTTCAGATGCTGTTGTGCATTTGCCTGCTAGCCTGAAAACTAGCAGACACATCTCTGTTCCAAAGAAAGATAGTGATAGACTAACCAAGTTGCTCTTAATGTGTGTTTTTTTTTTTGTTGTTGTTGTTATTTGGTTGTTTTTTTTTTTTTTTTTTTTTCATTTTCTTTTCTTAAAAAGTAGAAGACTGAATTCCTTAGCTCTTTTGTTCTAAGGTAAAATTTTGTTTTCAGTCTTAAATATGTTTGCAGCTCTTTTCCAAATGTTCTCAGCTCTAACTCTTTCTTAAAATTCTATCCTCAAACTGGGATACAAACACAGCTGCATAATGGTAAAATAATCTCTGTAATTTTGATATTGCCCTACTTATGTTCAAAATTCACAGAGCTCTTTTGACACAGCGGTGCTGCAACAAGGGACCTATTCAGTTGACTGTTTACAGAGCCACGGATTTATGAAGTCACCTCCTTCCTAGTGGAGTCCTTTAATCCAGCTAGGATGGACACCACTCTTTAGACCTAGATGGAGGATTCAAAGAGCAGATGCCTCTGCTTTCATTAACTGATCCTCTTCACCGTTAACAACTTCTCCAACTTAAGTCATGTGTAAACCTCAGCAGTGATCAGTTGAGTTTTCTTTCAGATCTTTGCTAACACTATTAAACACCACACATCTAATGAATCAATCGCTACAGGACCACTATTAAACACCATACATCTAATGAATCAATCGCATACAGGACACCAGTGGTGTCTGCCTGTATGACAACTGCACTAAGGCATGGTTAGCTAGTTTTTTCATCTACCTATTGTGAGGTTACAGTTTCTTAATGAAACTTTTAGTGCCAAATGAAGTGCCTTGAAGAATTTAAATACACAACATCAGCACGACTGTAGCAACCAAACTTGTAATCTTATTAAAAGATAAGGTTTTTGTGACCATCTCTTTGCCCATGAAGCTATGGATACTGGTTTCAATTAGACTTCCTTTGCATTCGTGAGCAAGTCCTGTATCAGCCCATCATTTATTCTGACTGGAATCAATACCTGACCAAGAGACCCCAGAATTACTGGGGGTCATCTACTTGGGCCTTTGAGTGTCAGTGTTTGATAAACTTTCTTCTGGTCCTCTGGAATTCCTTTTGCTATTGCAATAAAGATAAGATTATTTAAAGGAAACACCCATCCCTTTTAATAGTGTAACCATAGCTTTTAATTTTGCTCATAGACACATGACTGGGATTATCACCTTCAGATCTGAATGTCAGCTGCCACAAACCCAGGAAAGGGTAGGCAATTGTAGTGAATGAAGCTTTATTTTGCAACAGTTCAGACTTACTGTGCTGTCAAATATGGTAATGCACTTTGCACTGCAGGATATACAGCAGACTGTATATCTCCTAGAAGCCAACTACCTTTCACAATAGGAGTCATGGAATGTACCACTTACTTATTATCATTGTTTAGACTATCCGTCGGCTGCTGGTATTGCCCGTTCATTCTGCTCTCTTTACTGCAACACACACACACAAAAATCCAGTCACTTAAAGCAGTGGCTTCCCAAACCAAGGAAATAGGTTTTACATGACACAGCCTGTTTGCCAAATCCAGGTCCTTATTCAAAAGCACAATGCTGCTTAGCAGCAGAGAAGGGCTGCTGATTAGGATGCTAAAGATGCTTCATTTGTTCTCACAGCAATGCTACATAAGAAACACCATTTCTCCTCCTGGCCAAGGCTTCAGTGCTGCAAATACAGATCTGTTTGCATCAAATGTCCTATCCAAAAAGCTTAAAAACAGGTTAAGAAAAGATTTGTATTTAAACCTGGGAAAATATCTAATTACATCAATCCTTTATCCTGTGATGGGTCAATCATCCTGGCTCTGACTTGTAAATTCATTTTGTGTTTTGACAGCAGCGATAGGATTATGCTGTTGATTTCATAGCCGATGAAATTCAGATTACTGAGTTATGCCTGCTGATTATCCCATCACTATTCCATTATGCTTGATACCTTTCATCAGCAGAGCCAGTTCCTCTGTGGTGAGTTCTCCCTGGATAGAACAGGGAAGTCTCAAAATCTCCAGAATATAATGGAATAAACCCTATATTCTTAATATAACACGATTTAACAGAGCTTCAGGGCTCTCCTTTCTCTCAAGGCAGAAGCATCTACTTTTCTCCAGGGGGGTGGGGTGGGCGAAGCCTGAAATTAGTAGTAAAATTTTAGCATCAAATAGAGCCCCTGTGTTAAGAGATGCCATCTTTTGGGGCTCTCTGCATTGCTTCGGATAGAAATTAAATCTGAACATCCTCTTGTATATTTGAATGGAATACCTGACAAATACTTGTTAACTAGCTGATTAAGTTCTTTTCATAAGGGTATATTTATATAAGCGTCATGTCTTTCACAAACCTGGGAGGTGGGAGAATCCTTAACTGTTTCTGTTTAAATACCAATTATAAATACTTATTTTAATCTGGACTATGGTTTTGATTCTTGCAGCACTCTCTAAACAGAAGTTGAAGGTACCATTAAAAAAAAAAATTAAAAAATCCAGATTTGGATGTGTGCAGGAATAAAGAGGAAGGATTTTTATAACTTCAGAAACACTAGGTTAGGCATTAGGTTATGTCTAATCTGCCTAATTACACAAGATGACTGGTGGGTGTGCACTCAGGTGATGGGACCAAAGCAGAGATGTAAAGGCATGGTGGATCTCAGCCTATAAATTTAACATGCAACCAGAAACATAACACATATTAAGAAAAAAAAAAAAAAAAAAAAAGCCTTTTTTGGCACACAAAACTTAATAGTTTATCTAAAAATTAGTTTAGAAAAGATGCACATTTCAAGGAGAAGCTTACAGCAGAAGTATCATCATACATACTGTTCTAGAACCTTGATTCAAGGATATTCCATGTTTCATGATGCACATGTATGAACTGCTAAACAGTTCTGTCCAGGTCTTTGGGGGATTTTGAACTTGGTACACACCTGGAAGCCATGAATGGTGTCATGTCCAGCTCCAGCGGAAATGAGACATACGTAGTGATCTTTCGCCTCAGTTTGGCTGAGTGTTCAAACCGCTGGAGACAAAGTGGAAGAATTTTTTTTTTCTTTAGAGAAAGGCTAAGTTTTCTGTCTTTTATAAATGTCCTAAGCTTAGGAACAATAACATAAAATCATATTAGCAGGCAGGCAGTATCCAGGGATATCTCCAGATTTTTTTTCTACCAATGTGGGCTGAGAACCCTTGTGTAAATGCTAACACATTTCTACCAGGAAAATTAACCAGAATTTGTGGGGTAAAAACACAGTACTAATTAGATTGTTTACCTTAATATCTATACATTCAAACTTATTCCCAACTGATATTAAGAAAAAAAATATTAAATGGAGAGAACACACACAGCCTTTACCAAACCAGTGTTCATTTGTACTACGCGCTATTCAAATACATGGCTGCTGCCTAGGCACACAGAACTGGTGACAACGAGAACTTGCCATCAGATTCACATACTTAATCCACCCATCCAATCATCCCAAGTGACAGGAGTCAAGCCTACACAGGAGTACCAATTCAAATGAAGGCAAAAATGGAATATGATAATAAAAAAGCCTTGTCCCTCCGCCAAAGGGAGCCTGCAATACCCACCATCCTCTCCTCATCTTCTCGATTGAACGTTAAATGGAAATAGGAACAAATACCAGAAAGAGATGAATGAGTTTCTATTTAAAGGCAGCTTCTCTCCCCAGTTCTCAGAAATTCTGCTCTATTTACACTTCAAGTTAATTATTTTCCAATCGTGGTGCCATAACAATTCCCTAGCAACAGATCCAGACGTGAAAAGCTGAGACTGTAATTCTTATCTTTTGCGTTTCTTTTTTTCTCTAACACAGGAAAGAAAATTTGCATTTTGCATGGACAGGACAACACAATCACTTAGGAAAAGTCATTTATTTTCAAAAAATAAAAAAACCAAAACCAAAACCCCAACCCAAACCAACTCAAAACCTTCAATCATTCTAGATAACATGAATACCGAACTGAGTGTAGAAAAAGGGTTGAGCACATTCACATTGCCTTGCCAAAAGAGCAGAATCACCTAAGTATATCTTGCCAACTACTCTGCAGTAATAAAATGAAAATAAAAATAAAATAAAAACAAGAGCCTAACACCCCCAAAACTCCCCCCCAAACACCAAGCAGCCAGCCAAGCACTCTGGAAACCTCAGGTCAGCCACGCAGGAATGCTCTTCAGGAGGACCACAAACAGCCAAAGAACAAAGGAACTGTGAGCTACTATCTATTCCAGTCAGGCTAATATCTTTGGCATATAACATTCTCATATCATCTTGGTTAATACTCAAGATGCAACTGAAGAACTGCTGGTATAAGGGGTGAGTATCTGAAGGCATGATTGTCTCAAATAATCTGAAAAGGCCTGTAAAGTACAGAAGAGGAAATTCTTTCCACTGGTAGCACCTTTTTCCAGTAGAAAGCAGAATCAATCTTTTCTCACAAATAAAGACCTTCCTATGGCATTCTGTTTTCAAGTCAAGACCTCTGCATTTCATTAACAAGCTTCTGCACAAGCCAGATTTTGAAAATAAATTTTAAATTGCTGCTACGCTGGATACAGAGTTGCTATGTAATTTAACAATTCCAAACTACAATCATTTCTGAATACAGTCTGTGACTTGCTTAGTGAGACCATGACACTATAGTTACACAGATTATTAGATTTTCCAGTATGAACATACTGACCTAGCTTAGAGGGCTACTGGAAAATAAACCAGAAAAACTGCCTGCATGCTGCTGCAAAGTTTGGTATGCAGTTTGCCATGAAAGCTACAAGATAAAGGTCTAATTCTAACACTATTAAAAGTTACCCAGGTGTTTTACCAAAGTTCAAAGCTTAGAAACCATGTAAGAATTGAACAATGGAAGGAAGCCTCTGAAGTAAAAGGCTGGTGCACGTGTTATTTCAATTCACCATTCTCCAACTGGAAACAGAAGCAATACAAGCCTTCATTTGTACAGGGCGCATAGGCTGCCATTTTAAAATCTGTTTCCAGTCATCACAGTGGTAGGTAAAATGCTGTTTTTCTCTATATAGCTTACGTGACATTAGTATCATCATCAAATAAGAAGTTTCTTGAATTACTGGTCATAGTAAGAGGTGAGACCAGTGATCATCAGTTGCTGCCTAGCAATGAGAGGACATTGCCATTCTGTCCCAGGAGACACTCAAGACCTTAGAGATCTGCATCTGAAAAGCTCAAGTAGATCTCAGATGCAGTTAAATTACTATGGTGGCTGCTTCTACAAAAGGCCTGTGGTATCACTTTTCAAGCACCCTTTGCCTCTTGACACAGAACAACCTTCATCTAAGATCGCTGCTTACCTTGCACCACAGCCATACTCTTTAAGACAAATGGTACAGGACTAAACTATCTGAGGGCACTAACTATGACATTATCTTCCATCACTGCATCTGAGAATCTAGATTGGAAATGCTGAAAACTACATCACAGTTGGGAAGATACAAGACACCTTCTCCTTTGCAACTGGTAACTTTTTCATGCTTTTCCTTCAACACAGAGTTCCCGTGTGGCATTCTTCCACTAGAAGTGTAGGATAAAAATTTTACCATGCAGGATGGGTAAGTGCTATTGAAGATTGGTTTCTATGCTGGTTCAGGTATTGTACTAGCCTTCCATTTTGTTTCTAGAGTTTGATTAGTTAGCTTCCCACAGACATCCTGTGAAGCTACATTATAGATAATGTAATACTATCTTAATAAAAAGTCTAGCTGGGCATGCAAGCTGTTCTTTATATTAATTTATATCACTAAAAGATTAGTCAGTGAAAGCCAGAAGCATGTCCAGGAATTAAGCTCATTCTCTCAAGAGAGGAATACATGTCCCTCTGCTCTGTCTGTCCCCTGTGAACTTACTTTGAGATGAAAACAGGCCACTATGGGTAACTTCTTCATAGTGAGTTGTTTGGTAGATTCCTGGTAGCTATGGCAACCACTACATTTGATTTTGGCACTGCTTCCTAGATGTTCTGGCCTTGTAAACCTGAAAAAATATTAAAAAAAAGCAAAGGGATCGATCAGACAATTTTCCACACATGCTGAAAACACTTCTTTTACTTTTACTTGTGGGTCACTGGCACCACCAGAGACAGAGTTCATGGCTTTTAAGTGACATTTTGAAAAAACCCAACACCTATAATAACGTAAAGCGCTACGGTTCAGGTATCCAAATCTGACATTTATCATTGCTCTACTTGGGAACATTGCACTGAAATGCACCAGTGTCTGAGAAAGAAGCTAAATGTTAGTTAATCTCCTACAACAGGACAGCTAATTTTCATATAGAAAGTGAAGGTCTTTTGTTTTCAAACCCCAAAACATCAATATGGAAGTTCTGAAGCGAGATGACACGACTTCTGTGCCCAGCTGCATGCAATCTGCAGGACACTCTTTGAGCTTGTAGCCCTCCAGGGCTAGGATCAAAGCTCTGAGATGGAAAGGGCTGTAAACAAAAAGTCCTTTTCAAAATACAGATATCTTCCAAGAAAACCCAAGTGTTGACAACTAGAAAAATCTCTTTCAAAATTTTCTGACAGAACTGCTCAAGGGAGCTACAGGAAGAGACCATTACAGAACAGTGAACTGCATAGAGAAAATATACTACCTCTACGTTCTCACAACACACTAAAGCAAAATCTCTCTCACTTCTTCAGAAACTGTCAGCACAGAAAAGGCTAGGAGGATGGGCTGGTCAGTCTTTTCCTCCAAGTTTAGACTTCCACAGGGCAAATAAATCGTCTCCTCAGAAGCTGCTTTACAACTCAGATTTTTGAGATAAAATATTTTGAAATATAATCAAACATTTTACATTAATGCACACACTAAGCACGTGAGGGCAACATGGTATCAGCTCATCACTAACCCTACCTTGCCTCATTTTGTTTACAGCCAATGCAGCCTCCAGCATTAAATAATCATCACAGCTTCCTGGTTTCCCCTCTTGTTTGATTAGTAATATTTCTTTTACCTAGCCTGTGGTTTTGGTTTTTGATATTTTTGACTCCCGCAAGTCTGTAAAAAGGCTTATAAATTTGTTATTGTTCGAAGCGCCTATGTTTTTCTGATTTCTGTCATATTCCTGATCAATCCTTCCTTCTTCAAGCTAACTTTAAGTTGCATGGCCACACTGGTTGATACGAAGTTATGTGCCTTCCTTGTTTCAATCTAATAGTCAACCTGCTTGCTAACTTCTGGGTGAAAACCCAGACCCATCCTCTTTATCCATTAGAGTTCAACTTCTTTCCAAAATCCATACTCTCTGAGAATATCTTTGAACCTGGATGTTTTTCCTTTCCTATCATCATTTCTCTCTAATTCTACTAATCCTCATGTTGAAGAAAAATCACCACAATGCAACTGGTTTTGCCTCCTGATGCACTTCTGCATCAGCAATTTCTCATTTGTACTAATTCCCTTGTTTTCTTAAAAATATTGATCTTAAAGGTATCAAGGTTAGAAATCAGATGTCAGAGGCTATGAATTTTTATTTCAGGAGGATTAGCTTTGACACAGGCTACAGGTAACCTCTTCCACAGACAAGCAGCTGCATGTGCCACAAGAGAATGACTTTCAGATCTGCTAAAAGATCCAAATTAACTGTATATGAAGCTATAACATTCTCTCCAGTTACCTGTTTCCAAGATGCCTAAATTTCCTGCTCAGAATTATCTCTTCTTTTTGAAAGCTCCACTCCTTTAATTCTTAATGCCATCCCCACAACTAAGCTGGCAGTAGCTGACCCTCAGTTGTGCTTAGAGCAAAATTAGTTTCATACTTGGTGTTCTAATTTAGACAAATATTAAATGCATTGTAAACTCTTTTTATGTGCTCGCTTAGCTGACACAACCAAGAACAGGGAGACAGATCCTAGTGGTTTCAGTCATTTAAAACCACATTGCCTGGCAGCAGCCAATGTAAAATTTGTTTTCCTCTTGCATCATGTGGCAACTTGTTTTGATTGCTTATTGTTAGGCCTACTGTTGCTCTGAGCCTTCTTTGCCTTCTTCCTCTTATGCAAAAAGCTAAAATATGTATAAAAATCCTGTTTGGGGATAATGCCATGACAAAGCATCACTTACTCCCATTGTTCAGTGCCACCTGGAGAACAGAATGAAGCCAAATTCTTTTTACCCCAGCAAAATTGTATTTGTCTCATTTCATACCTTCGCAAGCAGTCTGTGAGAGTGGTGGTGCCTGATACATGGCTTTCCCCATTTACGACACTGCCATCACTCCCTGGACTCAGTGGCCAGAACGGGGTGGAGGAGCCTGGCAAATCCAAACTGATGTCCCAAAATGGGTCTATCGTTGTGGAAACGCCACTATGAAAAAGAAAGCAGTTTAATACACGTTTAAAGGAAGTACAGTTAAGTCTCGCTCACTTTAGTGTGCACACCAGATACTTATTTTTAAGAACTATGGGAACTACATCACCCCTAGAGGGCACTCAAAGATGACAGAAAATAACACTTGCTCCAGAGTGTTTTCCCACAACCAATTGTTTTTTTGAGTATTTAAAAGCCCTGTGTTTTAGGAACTGTATGTGATGTACTAAATGCAAGATGTATAGATTTAATACATTCTCCCACTCACTGGAGCCCTGTGACTCAAAGTGAACAAGCAGGGTTACTCAGAGATAGAGGTACTGGTCATACTACTGACCACTATAAACCAGCTAACACCTATGAGGATAGCTACATGCAATCCACCTAGTTTAGAAGCATGGTTCTCTGGTCAAGACATGGGAGATGCTGCTTAAGGCTATTTTGCTAAAGAGAGCACCAAATACTTTTGCTATACAGTGGTGCACTGAGTTAAGCTTTGCAGTTCATATTAGCATCTCCTACAGCATTTGGAATTGAGAGGCCAAAGAATAACTGCATCAAGAAGTAGCGTATGTTCTCAATCAGATTTCTCTACAAGACAGCTGAAGACAAGCCAAGAGCTAGACTACAGAAAAAGCTTCTCAAAATTGTAACTTGTACAGACTCAAATCTTTTCTTCCAGCATTTACATTTTTAAGAGAACTCCAGAACTTCAGGGGTCTAAGATCCTAGTTTGGAAGCATTTTCTGTTTGTACTCATTATACTTGTATTTTTTTTGAGTTCTCTCTTCCTCTAAAACTAGCATCTCACTCCGCAATCTCATTAAGCCTACAATATTCTGCTTTTTTTCCAGCTTCATTTGTGCAAAAGTTATCAATTTTCCAAAGAAAACTTCTTTTGTTAAAGTTTTATCAATGCTAATATTGTGTCATAATACATCAAGTTTTTCATTATCATAAAAGGATTCTGTGGCTCTACCAAGCAAAGAACAAAATTTCATGTGTTTTCCTTACAGTAAATCTTCTGTAAATCTCTCCAGGAAACTGAGAGTAAAAGCAGATTCAATCAAGCAAAATAGTCCATCTGCAGGACAGTGTGCATAATTATAAGAATGCAGGACAGAACAAAAAACAAGAACTCTGACTTCTGCACTATGGCAACACCAAACATCTTGAAAGAGAAGTCAACTTGCTCCAGTACAGAGAGTAAAACAACAAATACATTTTTCCTTACTTTTGTAAAACATTCACTTGCTGGTACCTGAGATTACACTAGGTATCAGCCTCTTTGAAACCTCTCCTGATGATACATGAGGCTCCTAACTGAAGGAAAATATGGTTGCAGATCAGAATTTTTCTTCAAACAAGGTGGTAACCACATACTTTCAAAAACAAAGACATCTTGGAAGTCCTCTCCTCATGAACTTGTCAAAAAATGATTTTTTACAGAGTAGTAAAGGTTTATGTCTGTAGGCCTGTGGTACTTTCCAGGTAGCTTTTTTGGTATGTCTTAATGCATGACAGTTACCTGGTAATTGACTTCATTTAGCTGATGCTGTATTTAAACAGTTATTGTCTTGCTGGAATTTTGTTGGTGTTTTATTGGTATTCAGGAAAGAAAAGATTCAGTACACTGTTGCACTGGGAGGTGTAGAGATTCAAATCAGAGTGCAGAATCAGAAAAACATTACTTACTGGCAGACTTGACAGGTAACATCAGACTGCAGTCCGCCTGTGAAGATTTGGTCTATGATGCAGTTACAGTGGTTGGGGTTGTTGGCCTTCTTCCCATTATCATCACCTGGAGGAATGCAAACAGAGGCTCAGAAGTCAAAAATCCTATGAGGAAAGTGATTTGTCTTGGACTGTGTCTCCAGTAACTCTTTATAATGCAAACTGAAACATACTGCAAGTTCACATAGACAATACAGAACTCTGAAAATGTTGTGTGTTGAAGAAAAAGCAAGGAAACAAAAAGAGAACTCCTAGAAAAATATAAAAGATAATCAGAAGGTGACTAAATGCAGTTAATTCCTGTAGAGCTGAAGCTTTAAGCCATATCTGCTGTTGGCCAAATGCTTTTTCAGGGTATCATCCAATCTCCCTTTACAGAGATTTGCTTTGCACTATCTGGTATAAAGATCAGTTCCTAAGACAAGGAGTTGCCCAGGTGGTTCATGAAAATTAGTATTTAAACTTCACTTAGAGAGCCACTGTGCAACATCTGTGTCTAAACAAATGTCCAGCTCTTTACCACAGAAACACTCGTTTCTGCTTAGGCAGAGTATTCAATAACACATTATTTTTCTAAATGAACAGAGGAGAAATGCTACCTTTTACTTCTATCCCAGTCAACTTCTGAGAATAGAGTGAGGGGAAGAGTTTGTTAAGACCCATTAACCTCCAGCCTGCTGTCTGCATCCTCTCCTTTCAACACAGATGTGTATGTCCTGTTCAAAGTTTTCACCAGTGAGAAAATGAAAGATGTCCTTATCTGAAGTGGGAAGATAAGTACTGTGTCTTCCTCCACCTTCTTCAGAGGCACAGCAATCCTCTAAGTTCCCAAGAGGCACAATGAACACATACCCATCTTTTAGGCATTATAAACTGTCATTGCAGGTCTCAGGAGCGCAGCAATTCATTTTTATGATTTGAGTGTTGAGATAAGGCTAATTCAGCTTTCTTAGACTAACCAGAGTATTAAACAACCAAAAAGTTTTTGTCACAGTTTTCAGCTCGGAAGCATACTCCTTCCATTCCCCATAGGTGAACTAGGAGTGATACACTTTTTCTTTGATTTCCAATACTCTACTGCTTATTTTCCTTGGGCAGGATAGATGCAAGTGATTTTGCTCTGTAAACAGAGACTCACATCCAATTGATTTCTAGTCAAGTATGTTAAAAAAAACACCTGAAGAAAGTAAAAGCATAGGGCAAAACCCCACCACTTTTCTGGTGTCTAAGGTGCTCTAGCAGAAGTCTTCTTGCAGCAGGAAGAAATAAGGTTGTTTTTTTTTTTTTTTTTCCAATGAAGCTTTGTAAGTTTGTTGAAAAGTATTATATAAAACTGCCAAATATGCCACCTGATATTAGGTGTGGAAAAGCTGACATAGGTGATACCTGCTAAACTGCAAAAGGCCACTTCAGTTAATTAGAACCTAAATGCCTCAGAAAAGCTCTCACTTCAGCTCCCTGCTTTAGAAACTTTTGTTGGAATTGTGAAGAAAAGCATATTGTTTCCTTAAAATGGCTCTTGAACAAAACGCTCTAAAATTATATTTCAAACATACGAGGTTCAAGTTGGAGGTTATCAGACTCAATCTCAGGCATTTCTTGGTGGGAACTTCAGCTAAATCTTACTGAATTTAAGATCTTTCTAAGGTCTCAATTATGCTAAGCTAATGAATAGAGCCTACAGTATAGAGACTCTCCATGACCTTTTTCACCTTTAAAAAAAAGATCACTTATAAGCTTTAAAGACTACATGCGGATTTTCAAAAAAGAATTTAATGTTCTTTATCCTTGTTTTTAAAGTTCCGCTTTTCCTTTTTAAAGGAACAACATGCAACTGCCACGTCCTTGTAATCTCACCATTTGAAACATTATCTCCCTCTGTTTTGTTCTTCTTTTTGGGCTTGGGGGGCTGGGGGGTGGAACATAAACAGAGAAACAGTGTCTAGAGATTCTTCACTGGACTACAGGTAATATCCCTGTTGGACAGCTTTAATAGACAGTCATTTCCACCTACGGGAGAGAATGAATACTCCCTTTTCAATTATACAAGTCAATTAGGATCAGTGACAAGAGGGTCTCAAAAGAATATTCTGTGAGCTTGTTCCCAGCAAAACAGAATGGCATTACCCACTCAACATTATTTCCCATGACATTTGGTTGGAGAGGAAGGAAAAAAAAAGTAAGATAACCACCTACTCACACTTGTCAATATGTAACAGATGCTGAGAGGAGGTATATTATGCAGCTGAGAACTAGAAGCTGCTAGATTGTTGTGCTCAAGCTAAGGTTCTCTTCAACATTTCTGTCTTACCAAGTAGGCTTTAGTTTCATACATTTTTGTTTTTAAAGCTGGTCATAATTCCTACTGGGGAAATCAGCAGCTTCTTGTAAGAGACTGGTCAGCACAAAGCTAAACCCAAACTCAAAAATACATCAATGTATACAATAATGTAAATATGAGAATGGCAGAAAATTGAGTTTAAAAGTTTGGATTCAAATTAAATGCAACTCTTTAAAAAACAAACTCAAAAAACAAAACAACAACAAAAAAACCCACACAGAAGTCACTACTGCATCTGTGCAATAATTAAGCACATTGTGTTCAAATATACAGACATTTAATATACTACTAAAGGTAAATCACACATAACTTTAAGAACAGCTATAGATTACTTTTTAACATTCCTTTTGGTTTTGAAATAAAAATAAAAAAGTTTTGCCTCCAACTTCCATTATGTATCTTAAATGAGAAAAAAGAATTTTAAAATTGCCAGATTTTAAAAGGGACGTTTATCAAAACAAGACATTAATATTAACTTTTCTACTTTACTTCGGCCCCCAGTGTTCAGAACATGTGCTTGTTACTCTTTATGACCAAGCAGTGTACACAAAAATTTATATAGAACATAGCAGATGACATGTTTCGCAAGCATATGCTTTATCAGTTCCTAAGAATATCACGCAGAATTCACAGAGCAGGGTAGTGTTTTACTCCCAAATCTCAGCAGAGCATTCTTTTTCTGTCATGATACCTAGCACCAGGCTTCAGATTTGATTTATAGCCGTCCTTGTTAAAGATGAGTGCAAAATGCTTCATGAAAACCAGATAAATGAGGAATAACCAGCTTTAAAGCACTACTCTTTGTTAGACAACTGAAAAACATTCACTGAATAAAGTTTGGGATAAAAATATAGGATTACTTCTTGCTTTTTGTATCTCTGTGTACAAATGCCCATCTCTGCCACTCTCTGCTGCCTGACTGTTGCTGCTCTTGCAATAAATAAATTAAACAAAAAAACCCCCAAACACAGCCAGTGATTTCACTGGGCTGAACATTAACTTTTGAATTGCAGTCTTGCTCCATGTAAGAAAATTGCAATTCTGGTCTAAGTTTCTCCAAGTTTGAATATGTCTGAGACAAAGTTAGTAAACAATAAAGTTTACTGGAACCTCACTGTCATGGGAGTTTGCAGAATTAGAACCCTGATCTTCTTCCAGAGCACTGTTAATTAAGATATATCTGTCGTGTTGACTAAAATTTGACCTAATGCTTTGCAGACTGAGCAGAAATACCTATTATTTACATTCCTCTAACAAATGAAGAGCTCTGGAACTCCTGATGTATCCCACATGAAGAGTGAGGTATACTCTGTATTTGTCCTTCATAGAAGAGTCTAAGAAAACATGCAAGAAGCAACAGATCAATGTCTGATCATTTTCAGCATCTTCTATAATCCAAACATATTCAGAGACTAAAAATCAAACTTAAGCATTTAAACATCTAGGGCAACACATGCCAAAAGTCAAGGTGAATGGTTAGACTTTAGTACAAAGAAGGTGGCCATTACCTCCACAGGAAGGCTGGCTATAGCATTACCCTGGTGAAGACGCTACTATCTGATATAGAGTAAGCTTTGTATCTCATCTGGAAGCTTTTGTGGTGAGAAGGACCACAAATACCCATGTACAATGACAGTGCAGGACTGTGAGCACTATTGAACCAGCAAGAAAGACTGGAATAGCACAAAATGCAGGTACAACTTTAAATGTCATTTATAGCAGCAATGTTGGAAAAAGAATTCAGATTCAAGAAAGCTCTTGCTTTTTTAGTTGGAGTATGCATTTAAGGACAGACCTTGTATACACTCTGGGTGAATGGTAGAGAAAGAGGAGTAAATAATAGCTTAGCATTTTTTTTTCCACCAAGATACTACTTTCCCGTTAGACTATCTTTCTCCAGCTGTTGGAATGAAAAATAGTGATGCATAGGCATGACAGATTCGATGTCTTTTATTCAGAAACATTTTAAATTGCTCCAGCAGCATAGAGGAGCCCTGCTAAGTGTTAGCAATATGCCCTGAACAGATGCCACAGCTCAACACAGCAGTGCTGGCACAAGAAGAGCCATCATCCCGAGACAGGATTTACATGTGTGATCACACAGGTATCCCAGGCTTCCCAAACTTCACAGATGCCACTAAAACAAGGTATATATTCAACCAATATTAAAAAACCCAACCAAATTAAACAACTACCTGGGCCAGCCAGCCCATATAACAGTCTAAGGGCAGTTAAATTTATGCTTCCTAGGATGCAGTATTACAAAACTTAAATGCACATCAAAATCATATATTTTGCCTAGTTTAGGCAATGCCAGCTATCAACGACAAGCATTTACAGCTTTCTCTGACTTGCATTAGGACACTTCCCAGGAAGTTGAGTAACTGGAATGGAAAGGGGATAAATGACCAATGTCAGCCAAGCAAGTACCACTGGATATTTATACAGTTCTTAGGATAAGGAACACTTTCATTCGTTTTGGTGGCTGAAGTCTTGGTGATCATGAATTTTCACCGTGACTTTACTTTACTGTGTTCACTTAATTGTAGAACTTGATTACTACTGACTGGAAGCTTTAAAAGCTTTTTTGATTCAGTAAAAATAAATATTTAATAATGGCTGGGGAGGCATTATTTACGTATTGTAGCTTTAGGATATATTCTCAGTAATAATATTTTTACATATGTATACTTCACATGTGTGTGTGTGCATACATAAGTAAGTGGGAAAACTTTCTCATTACATAGCAAACTAGTTCATTCCAAAAGTGGTTTATCATGACCATACTTGAAATTCTGGTTTAGATTAACTTGTTTGGTTCCCACACAACTGCTCAAACACTTCTTTAAATTTACCTTGATGTGGTATAGATTATTTACCATAGTTTAATAAAAGTCTCTTCATTTCTTCAGAAACAGAAATTTTAAAACCCAGGTACACAGATGTCAAGGATCTACTGCTAATGCCTTCCCACCAGTAGCACTGTAACAGCTTATTTATGTCCATGCAAGCAGGCTCAAACTTAAAGATATCCATTAAATAACTGAATTTCAGTCCTTGTATTGAATGTACCTTTCCCACAACCCCAAAAGTTCAGTACTAAAGCTGTAAAGCCCCCTAATTCAACCCAAGCTGGCTGAAACCATTACAAAACTTGATACAAATTCAGAAAGTGTTTTCAACACATCTGTGATACCCAACAATTAGTAAAAGAATCCACACACACACACACATACTCTTTCCAACAAAGGATGTCCAACGTATTTTTTTCAAAGTTTTAGGACAGTACAGTTTCATTTTCATTCCAGATGGAAAGGCCAGGCAGAACCAAGAGTAAAGAAACTGTTGAGAAAGCTTGGTTTTGTTGGTAATTCCAGAAGATACATCATAATCTTCATTTAAAGCCAAACCACACTTTAAAAAAAACAAAACAAAACAAAACCCTTGTCTTTTCAGATTCTTTATCAATTTCAAAGGAGCGCAGGGACCTTTATTGCTCCAAGTATTTTCTTTACAATTCTGAGAAGAAAATACTACCACTTCATGAACTAACTGGGAAGTATAGAAGAAATATGAACATCATTTTATATCAAAGATGATAAAAAAGCTTCAAGATTTGTTAGATCAACAGTTCAGAAACTTTACAGGAACCAAGAAGTATTTCTGTTTGCAGCTGAGTTTATTCAGTGATAAGGAGAGGTCAGTATTTGGGTAGACACTGTTCTGTACAGCACTTTAACACTAGTTTCATTAGGCTTATTGAATTTCAGTTAGTGACTGTCAAATGGCAGATACTAATAATTGCAAAAGAACTGTTCTATGTACTCCTGTCCTTCGAAGTAATCTTTTTGGAGAAGACTCTTTTGGAGGACACCTATTACGAATCTGAACAAGCACATCTGCTACCATGTAAGACAATCTCAAAGATAAAAGCAAGACTTTGAAATGTTTCAAAGAAGCAGTAGCAGCCTTCCCTTTGATAGTCCTTTGATAGACAAAAAAATAACCTCTAAGTGGCTTTTCTAAGAGCACTAGAGGAAAGTTGAGTGCTTTAAAGCTTATTTTTAGTGACTAAGGATTTTTTTGTTTATTTTTCTAGTATCAACCCTACTATTTTTCCACTTACAAGAATAGTAAAAATTTCTCTGCTTAAGTGAATCAAGCTAGATTAAACATTGGCAGACTAGGAAATTTTCAGTTCAGGTTTAGTTCAGCTAACTAACACGAAATACATAATTTCATATCATCTACCAAATCGGTTCAAGACTTAAAGACTTAATCTCCAGAAGCATGGCAATGAATAATTTTACTGTATTATACAATTATGTATTTTTATATACAGACTAATAAAACAAGATACCAAAACCAAATACTCATTTTTTTCCTTATTCCCATTTCTGTAAGCAATTTGGCATCATAAATACAGTAGGATAATATGCAAGCAGAACAGCCATAGACTCCTCTGTGTTATTTTCATCAGTCTCATGACACACTGAGTAAGAGTTCTAACTACCTCAGGTATAAATAGAAATAAATTTAAAAGAAAAGACAGTGACTCACAACCAATAAGAGAAGAACATGATGGTGATTCAAACCAATGTACAGGCTTGTCTGCTTCTAACTCTAGGTAACTTTTGACAGTGGGCATGGTTTATTTATTTGTACATCTTTTCCTTTAAGGCTACCAAACATTTTAAAAGGAATTTGCTAAGACTGCTGTACTGGAAGACACTACACTTGATTTAAGAAGAGATTGTTCTACCTCCTTTTGATCCAATATTCCTTGTTGATTGAAGACTCAAGAGTACAAGCCTTACCTTTGCAGTGTCTGTGTAGCACATCTAATGCAGCAATGAGGAACTCGTGTGCATCTTGTTGCTCGTACCCTGCTAAATGCCGTGCATGAGTCCATACCAGGTGCAATAACCTATATGGAATGTGAGGAGATCGGTGCCCAGAGTAAAACTGCTCAAAGCAAAGAAAAGGACATGACTGTTAACATGTTACACAGCCTCAGTTCATTTAATTATTAAAAACTTAAATGAGTTCAATTAGTCAAATAAATTTAAACCATTTAATTCTGCTGGCCTTAATAATAAAACACAAAGACAGTATTTTATCACAGATTACTGAAGAAGTGATCTCAGAACTGAGCACCTCAATTTTCTCCCTTGAAATTATTTCATTTTGTGATGGATTAGCCTAAAATTAAAAAAAAAAAAAAAAAGGGGGGGTGTGTGGAGGGAGTGGAGGTGGTGTGTAAGCAACACTCAAGCACCTTACTGATACCACTGGCTTCTAATAAAAATAGTCGAGGGGGGTGGATCCTACATTTGCAAGAGATCAGCAATTTGTTCACAAATTACATGCCCCCCAAAATCAGGAGAGACAACGAAGATGAGAATATTAGATGCCAACTGTCAGCCGACCCCTGAACCAAGCCACGGTAACACACTTCATCCAATGGCTGTGAACAGTCCTATCTTATGGAAAAATTTCTATGGGGGGATAGCAGCCTCATGCCAGTATGGGCCTTTCACTGTGTAGCTGTAACAGCACAAGGCTTTAGAAGATACTTTATGCAGCACAGCTGTTTGCAGAGCCGAAGGTACCACTTCATTCACCTATCCCCAAAATCAGCTGCCTGTTACTGCTCCTGCAGGGCTGTCACTGCCCAGAGATCTGGTCCTGGACCAGCTCCTGCATCTGCTTCTTAATCTGCTTCAGTCAGAATCTGATGAGCTGGCTACAGTAGTGACTGAAATTGCCCCAGGTGATTTTGCCAGAAGCATATTAGAGAGTGCACAGACAAATTATTCAGTCAGCAAAACCATGATGTGAAACACCACTTCTGAGTGGTGACACACAGCTGGGGAGGTAAATCAGCACAGAAGAGGAGGACAGAGAACTGCCTACAGAAAATCATGCTGCCTTTTTTTTTTTTAAAAAAAAAAAACAAAACAAAACAAAAAAAAAAACCAAAAAAACCCAAAAGCAGCCAGGTCTCACTTAAAAAAAACAACACAAAACCCCCAAACAAACAAACACCCACAACCACCCAACCAAACAACCCCCCCGCCCATACTAAGGGTCCATGTTTCCCTGGGTTAAGGCTCAACTCCCTCCTTTACCCTCTTCATTTCTATCCAAGTGCTACAGCTGCAACTCTTCTACTTTCATCTTCCTGGGTCCTCACTTCTGCTGCTGCCAATTCTGGCATCCAGAGTCTGAGACTAAAGCTAACAGTCCCCTCTTGAGCAAGCTGACTTCTGTGTCTGTTCACCGTGCACCATGATACCAGCTCCAAAAGCAAAGCAGAGATGCTTGTGGTGTCCCTGCAGGGAGCCAGAAAAGGCCCAGGAGAGTTTATTCACTTGGCTTTCAGATTGTATTTAATGAAGTAGCATTTTATTTTTAATAAGTGAAAATGTGTAAGTCATTTTGCCTTCCCTAACACTTGGAAAAGTTATTTGCCAGTAAAGGGTGCCTGCAGCACCACAATTATGTTTTGCCAAGATCCTATCAAATCCATGGTGGCTTATTTTCCGTTACTCTTCCCAAACAGAAGACAGTAAGCAGCAAATACACAGAACAAAAATAAGATTTAAAACCCCAGCAGTATGTAATTTCTCACTCTTATTGGAAAAGCAGGCCTCCTTCCCCAGCCCTAAGTTTCTTCCTGCCCAGTCTGACAGCATTTTGTGTCAGTGCAAGGACAAGCCTAGATAAAACATACAGTATTTTAAGGGACACGTATGCAAAAGGTAGTAAAATGTTCTCATCTAGTCCTCGTATGTGTAGGGTTTTCTAAATGGTTTTATTTTCTTGCAAATAAATTTCTTCTTTGCAAGCTCCGCTTTTTCCAAACAAGAAGATATACCTCTGCAGCCAAACAACACAAATGCTTCTATAAATAAAAGGATCAATAGTTAACTCTGATGCCAACAAGAATGACACCAAGGGACTGGAGCAGTAGTATGGTAATTGAAATCTGCTGACGCAGCTGCTGCTCAACATAATTCAGGGAACTGCAGCAATAAAACTTCTCTGTTCTGTCACTCCTTACAATTAGTCCCAGAGCTCTCCGGTCATTTTAACCAACAGCACTCTCCGTAATTACTCCACTGCAGACACTAGACCTGCCAGCAGATTTTTACATTCTCTGGTGCTTCATTAGGATTAGAAGACTCTAACAAGAAGCTTTATCGAATTATTAGCTTTTATCACACCGAAACTAGAAACACACCTAGTAAGAATGCTGTTGGATATACATGAGGGTGGAGGAAAGCTTTACTACTCTAATAAATCAAAAATGAAACAAAAGAATCTGAGTGCATTCAATAGCAATATTTTAACTGGAATGTATGAAACAATCATCCCATCTCTGTCATTTCCTCGTTGCTGGGAAGAGCAGCCTATCAGAGCCGTTCCAATCCACAAAAAGGAAAAAAGTCCATGTAAAGTCTTATTCAACCACTATTACACAAACCTCTTCATTAAAGTGTGCAAATATAAATAATGATTTATTCCCAAGTCACCTTTAAAACACTTCAATGGCACAACTCTCCCAAACATTATTTTAAACAAATTTTCATTTAAATTTGTTTTCAATTCAGCAGTATCAGTTGTTTGTGTTGGAAAGAACTAGGTTCAAGCAACTGGAAAATGCTTGGTAATACAGTGTCAAATTGCTGTTCCAGGAAAAATAATAATAAAAAAAATTAAAAGGAAAAAAAAAAAAAAAAAAAAAAGAAAACAACCCCAAGCCAGGATTCAAAGCCCCCATTCTTACACACAACCTAAGTGACATTAACTTTTCTTTTTTGTACTTAGAACACTTGCTCTTGGATTCTGAAAGGAAGAATCTATATAAGGGATTTAAAGGATTCTAGGCTTGTAATTTTGCATTATTGTTACCAAAAATATACAGATATCAGTCAGGTTTAAGAAAAACCAAAACCAAACATCACCACCACACACATCTGTACTTGTTTTTCCTCCTGCCAAAAACACATGCACAGAAGTTTCCCAATTATGTGAACAAACATACATTTGATCTATCCTGTGTACGTATCAACTAAACTGCCTCTGAGCTTTGTAATGAAGAATTTATAGGCATAAATCCTGCACCAGGCTCCAGTCCAATTTGAAACTGGTTCTCAATTAAGACTTTAAATGTTCTGAAAATTTACAATGGATAAAGGGAGTGGGTAATGCATGTGCCTTTCAGAATAAGAGAACACGTACCAGGTTTCCCAAAAAACAGCAAAGGTTCAAGAATCAGAAAAAACATTTTGCTTGCACACACTCTGTATGTTCTATACTTATTTCAGAGAAACAATTTTACCAAATCAGCACAAACTCCCTATTTTCCATGACAAAATGCAAGGCCTCTGTCTACGTAAAGAGCCTTAACTACGTTGTCTCCCTTGTACCTCCGTTGGAACTTATTTTATACATAAGCCATTTCGACAGTGTACCATCTTAAGATATCAAAGCCATAAATCATCTCATTCTTCTTCCTTTTTGTCCTCACTTCTCAACTCTGTATGTAGTTGTGCTGTGCACCTTGATTGGCTCATGAGGATGAGTAATGATGGGAATAAAGGCGGCTTTGCTCTTTACATCTCTGAGGGGATGCACTGCCTTCTGCGATATTCCCAAGTGTTTCTGTTATTCCAGTCACAGAGTACACAGAGATACAGATCTGCTAATTCTACCATTTTGAATGGTCATTCTATAAAGGATTTAGATAAACCTTAGGGTGTGGACCATCTTGAAATTAATTTTCATTGGTGAGGCAAAACTAAAACACAAATACCAGTAGGTAAAAAGTAGTGCACAAACCCTTTCAGCCAAAAGGCTCAATGAACGGATTCTGTGTGTTCTATCTTCCCTCCATCCAGTTTCACACTATCTGTTATTCCCAATTCCTTTTCATTCCTTTTCTTATGCAGTGTAATTCATGTCATGATTCTATTGAGAAATAGGTTTCAAGTAGCACAAATGAGAATGTTAATTGATGCAGTCAGATATTTTTAAAACAAACAGAGATCAATGCTTGGCATATTTGCAAGAAAAGCTACCAGGAAAAAACTCAATTCTGAGAACCATCTGATAGTCATTACTCACCACCAACCTACTTCAAGGTGGAAGTACTTTGTAGCTTTCTATTTATCACAGAGAAATCACACAACCTATATAACTAAATGATCAAAAAAAAAAAAAAAAAGGGGGACAAGTGTTTTCTGCTTAAGAAGCAAAATAGCAAAACTTGGTTATTTGTGTGTACTAAGTTTCATTTAATGTTCAAAACAGTCTCTTTTTCTCCTGGAGAGTTCTTACTGGCTTGCATTCACCAGCTCCTGTGGCATTCCATTTGCCTAAGATCACACCTTCAGAAAAGAAGGGTGGAGGGGAGATGAAGTTAACCCTTGCCCTGATCATTTGTCACTGGGTAAAATGCCTTGGGATAACTACATCAGTTAATCCCGGTGGGAAAGCTATGTAAAAACAAGACAGAACCTGAACCAAAGTTTCCCCAGTAATTCAATTACACAGGAATTCTTAACCATAGCACTGAAATCTCCACAGGTTAGCACTCCTTCATTCAGACCTAATCTCTGCAAAGACAGTGTAGGAATCTTCATCATAACCACTGCATATAGTTGGGACATGAAAGATAACCAGTCTGCTCCAAAAATGCAAGATTTTGGTTTTAATTCTGAACGTAGAGAAGTTAAATCTCACTGGGAAACAGAATTTTACAATGAGTGCTGACAGAGCTATAAAAGTAACATGGTATATGCTGCTTGCAAGTTAAAATATACTGAGTTGGTTACAGACACTACAGTTTTGTTTGTGGCGGACTATGGTCTAGTTTTACTTCAAGGTGGTTGAGTCACTTTTAGTTGCCCTCCCACAGCACACAGCTGCAGTATTTCAACATGAAATAAGGACAGAGACTACTGTAACTGCTGTCTTCACAGTCTGTATCATAGATATGGCTCTTCACTCATTCAAATATCCTCATGTCGCAGAACATTAATTATTAGAACCAATGCAAGCATAGGCATGAATTTTGATCGGGGAAGATGAAGGCTGAGATTCCCAAAGTTGTGTGTGAAATTAAACTTGATTACAATTGAAACTAATGCGAATGCTGCATTTAAGCCCCATTTTGAGTAACAGCCTGTTCCTTTGTTACATGCTTATACACGGTCTAGCAAAAGGCATCCCAGGCCATCAACAGGGCTCCACATACACAAATAGAAATAAAAATAATTACCTAGACAGTCTTCATCTTTCCTCCAGCCTCTCAATCTGTAACGTAATACTCATTTCCCCTTTCCCAAGGTTTTTTTTTTAAAAAAAACACATGTGTCTAAACAGAATGTGGTAATACTCATTTGAATTAAGACTTTATACCACAGTTTGATGAAAGAATATCAAGATTATAATAGTACCTTTTTTTTAAATAAGCAAATAGGTTTCTATATTAGCAGCATACAGAAACTGGTATTTCTATACCATGACTGATTTTTTTATCTAGGCAGAGTGGTATTTCTCCATTTAACTGCACATCTGGTTTCAATAATCCTGCAGCTGCTACCTATTGGTATGCCTGCCTTTTGTTTTTACCTCCTTTCCTGACAGACTCAGGAATAATTGAAAAATAAATCAAAAGATAAGAAGTATAACATACAACTAATGACTGATAAGCAGCATGAAAGGTTGCAAATTCATGCAAGTGCTGAGTATGAGCTGAAAACGACTTTGTACTGGAATGGCTAGGGGGGACTTTACCTTCCATATATGTTTAACTCACCTTCAGTAACCAAAAAGAATCACCTCTGGTGAAAAAGGCAGAGAAGCAAAATCAAATTGAAAAATCGCAAGATAAAGGTAAAGTCATTTGAGGTTGGTCTCAGTTTGAATGAACTTCTGTGACAGGATATACACAAAAGATGTGCTCTGCGTACCGACATCTCCAGCTATCTTAAATGCTCTGTGACAACACATACTATAGCTTTTTTTTGTCTGGTTCATTGTTTTCGTTTTTTTATTTACCAAGAAAGCAGATCTATCACTGAGGGAAAGGCACAGAACTGGATTTGTTTGTTTGCTTGCTTTTAAAGACTCATCTTAAAACTAGAAGCCCATGTCTAGCCATAGTCCTTACATTACTGATGTAGAAATAAGATAGTTAATAAAGTTCTATGACTATTAAAGAAAAGACTTTGCTTGTGTCATACAGCACAGACTAGACTTACAGAGAAAGGCACATTGCAAAGCCAGTCACCTGAGTGAGAAAGGGAAAGAAGAGGAACATGGTACACGGAAGGTACAAACAGTACCAACACATTTACTTTTCTACATCTTCCTGGCCATTAATGGGTTTCCACGTAAGAGATGACAGCAAAGATGTTTCTCTCCCTTAGAAAGCACTGAATCGAAATCTTTAAAATATTTACACAGACCTATGCAATCCGGGGCCTTAAACCACAAGGCTATATACTATTGCTTTATTCTCACTCCCATTATCACCCAAAGAGCCTGTGACATATTTTCCAGTTACAACTTGCACCTTTAATTAAAGCACACATTCAGCTTTTAAGACTAAAGACTTGCAGATCAGTCTCAGAAGAGCAGGCAGCACTGTAATTATTTCCAATATCAGCTTTGTCTAAACAAGGGTAACTTAAGAGTAAGACTTAAAAGGCCGATAGTTTCCTTCTCAGCAGTTTGTTATTTCTGACAGTAGGGTCTCAATCTTTACTGCTCTGTTGTGCCACACCTTGAGAGGAAACAAAATTTGCATTCCCTTTATACTTGCAAATAGCACACAACTTCTTTTAGGGTAAGAAACAGCCAGCATCTGTGGAAAGGCGATGCAACTGTGGCAAACAGCACTCACCTCCTGAAAAAGCGTAGACATTTCACAGACCAGACATGAGCTGGGGCTTTGCATTTCACATTTGTGCCTGTCGGAGAGGAAGAAATCTCGCAGCAGTGGAGTGTGGGTAAGTGCCTGGACAATACAGTTCATAAAACATGTGTTCCCAAGATTGATGAGCCCTCGTAGACCTATAAAGACAGAAGGGGGAGGGGATGCATAAGCATTATCAAGTTAACAAAATGGTATATTTGCATTTTTATATAGTTTTCACAATATTGACAAAGATTTACTGTATATGTACAGCTCCAAGTAGAGAGTTTTACATTGTTTTAGGTAGGCTATTGGTTTTGATGTACTCAAGTCACAAGCTGCCGCAAGCTTTCTGAATTACACTAGTATCTGGTTTTTAAATTCTCAGAAAAGAGGAAACCTCAAAGTACAACACCACCAATAGCATTATTTTGCAATGGCTATTTTGCCATGCATCACCAAAACATGTCCCCTCCCCAGGCTGAAACCAAAGTGCAATGACAACAACTGGTAAGTCACTACAGTAAGAAACCAATACACTTAAATAAATCAAAAAATAAATTTTCCGACAGTTTAAAAGGCTTTCCCTCATGCAGGTCACGAAGCCAGAATAACGTTTTTTTACTGTTATAGTGCAACAATCATCTTTCTAAGACAAGCAGCAAAGGGAACAGCCTTGACAAAACAAAGTCAGGCTGTGACATCCAATGCAGACTTAGCATATCCCTTTTTTTTTTTTTGTACAAAACCCAAGATTCAAACAAAACCTTAAAAGAGAAACTCTGAACAATACTAGTTCCACACTCATTTTAGCTAAGTCAAGCATTAATCTACAGTATACATCAAAAAATTCAACTTGGCATAAGAGGATTCATCACACCTTAAGTCAAACGTTCAGTAATGCCCAGAGACGATTTCTTGTGCTTGGAAACCAAGATGCTTAAAGGAAAGCTCTTTTGTAGCACAACAGAAGAGAGGTTAGGAGTGGGGAAAGCTTTTCAGTCATTTGCAAAGTCTAAGTGAGAAGAAAAACATGCTCAAATCCTTGAGTATTCTTCCAAAATGTTAACATAATACCACCATAGAGGAGTGCTAAACGAGGAAAGCATCAGGTGGACAAGAATGCTTATTTTTAATCAAAAACTTACTTTGAAACAAGATAAAAATGTACTGATAGATACAATTCCGGTATTAATTTAAAATTAACATAGTCCTCTTCTGCAATATAAATGGGATTTCTACACAACCAGTGAACAAAAAAACCCAGCCATTACTTGATAGAGAACGAAGAATTTCCTTGCCATTCCATGGGGGGGGGGGGGGGAGTATCAGCTGGCAATGCTGTGGTAATTAAAAATGGTGCAGTTCCCTTGCAGTACACCAGATAGTGCTCAAAGGGCTCTTTAGCATCTTTCAGCAGGAGGAGGTGTGGTCCAGTTGCTACGTTACCAGAGAGAAACGGCACTACATCAGCTTGAACTGCATACTGAGCTGCAGGCGATGGACACAGAGCCCTCTTAATTTTTTTCCCCCCCTGTATCTAATGCAACACCGTCCTCCTTCCAACAGCTTCCTGTTGTTTCTGTTTACTCAAAGTGCAGGACAAAGTTTCTCATTATATTATAGTAACTTCTACTGGGCAGAAAGCTTACTGCAATTATTTGCTTTATTTTCATGCTGGGAGGCAACAAGTGTACGCACAACATTAGCAAAGTGTTAAATAGTTAATTTGTTGTAGCAGCTTGAAGTACGGTGTGATGCTTCAACCCTGTACACAATCCTATTTCAATCCCCAGTCTACAATGTCTGTGCAAACAGTGTCGCAACAGAAAGGCGTTCATGCCGTGCAAGTGGAGGAATGTTTGGTCAGTACTTCTTGCCTACCTCTCTCTCTCCTGTATTTTCCATTTAAAACTCACTGGATTTTTTTAAATCATGGACTGTGCAAATGGAAGCCTGTAAGGCTCCCTGGACATTCCTGAGATGCACCGGAGTATTTTGAGAAGCCGATGAGCCTCTCCCTATTTCTCCCTGTGAAACTCAGTGCCTCTGGTTAGTGCCAGAATTCAAAGTCAGCCTGCACAGCACAGAAGACTGGTGGAAAACCAGCACTACATCTAGAGACTCGCCCTATCGCTTTTTGATAGCTAATTGAGCAATCACAAGTGAAAGCAAACACATAAAGGCAGCTTTTTGGAATCATTTATTAAGCATCATTTATTACATGCCTGTGGCTGGACCTTCTTTCCCTGTGACCACAAGAATCAAATCTTCCTCAAAGTTGCCACCAGAAGACTAGTTACAGGCGCCAGACTCAGAAGGCTCTCTTGCTTTACTCTAGTTGCTCAGCCTCTTGGTGTCAGTTTCTCATGGGTCTAAATGGAGTGCTTCATGCGCTATGACTTCACTTGAATGAACCAAGACAAAGTAACCTGCAAAACAGACAAGGCTGAAACGTGAATAACTCCAAACCCTAATAAAAATCAGAAAATGGTGAATGTAGCAAGACATGAGAACTTACTTGGCTGAAAAGGGAAAAAACATAAAGGAGCATACATCAATCTTATTCTTCAGGGAGCAATAACTGCAGCTGCTATACTGTCTCAAACTGATGTTTCCAATGAAACAGGGATGATATGAAATAGGGATGTTGCACTGAACTACAGCTAAGATACTGAGTAACTAATTGCAGCATCTTGGAAAACATCAAAATTTGATGTATGTAAACTAAAGAACTGACAGAACGCCACATTCTCCTGTGCTTAACTTTTACGGAAAAAAAAATGAGTTTTGCTGGAAAGAAAAACAGCTAAACATTAAAGCCTATACAGCATTCTGGTCAATAAAATAATAAGAATGTAAACCACTTGTGTCTGCCACACCTATTCCCTCCACACTAACAAAGCCTGGCAATATTTAACGGGAATAGTCAGCATTGCAACATGTGGGTCATAAATTAACAGAAAAATAACGTTCCAAAACCTCAAATTCAGCAGTCCACTTTTGCTAGCATCAACAGTTGTCTCCACTAGCATTTAATCAGCGAACAGTATTTGTACAGAGGAGTGGGCTAACTGTCTAAGGATTGCCAACAGGATCCAACCTCTAGTAATAAAGCTGTGCTACTTTGCAGACTTCTGCTGTGCTTCACAGTGTTATCTTTATTTCTGTTTTTTTATGAACTGTTTCTGAAATGAGCAAGAGTAACCAGTGAAATACACAATACATTCTACATGCAGATGTGGGCTCTTGTGTTAAGTGTAGTTAAGGGAAAAGCACTGGTTTACTTCTGAACCTTGCTGATGTAAATGTAAATATTGGAATAAATTAATATTGCTGTCAAGACCAAATTGTCATGTACCATAGAAAAGAAAATATCCTTTAATCATCATGCATGGTGTATGATCACTATTCTCATTCTGTCACATGCTGGACAGGCAGGGCGTAAGCAAAGAAGCAATAAATCTACTTCTGCAATGCCCTGAACACAGGTAAACCCATCTGGGAAATTCATTTTACATTTGGTCACAAAACGAGGTTCTAAGCAGCTGTCTTACCTTTGTCAGCTTCAGTTCTTCAATCTTCTTCTGGTAACGGGTTTTGTTTTTTTCAAATGCTCAAAGTAATAGATCTGCAATACTGGGCAACAGCGCTTGTTGTGATGCAGGGAGATCTAGAACACTGGTTCTGCAAGTCCACCCACGCAGGCGAGATGAAAAAATCAAAACAAGATAAGGAAATTCCACTTCTCTGTGAAATGCAACTGTACAGCTATTAAAGGTGGGGAAGTGGGGAAATGAGAGGACCACACATGAATACAAAATACAGAAAAACCAATCAGGTGCCTATCTTGCTTTCCTGCAAGAGGTTCTGTTTGCCTCTAAACCTAAGTGTCATGCTGGAATAGGAAAGAGAGCAGACAAACCAGTCTGAACAAACATTACCACACAGAAACCTGTGATTTATTTGAATGAAGGTTCTGGAAGCAAGAACATAGGTCACTATAAAACGCAATTTCATGAGACAATCAGGAAATCATTCAGATGCACAAAAGCATAACCAGCTTGAGATCCATTTTACATTAAACACAGGTTGGCAACACCTTAGAGGAATTTTTTGTCCCCTACCCCCAGCCCTCCCAGTTCCCCATCTGGTGTTGATGTTTCCCTGAAGCTCCATCAGACAGTATCAGAAGTCAGTGCAAGCTGAGGAAGTGCTCACTGAAATATTTAAAGAGAGTTCAACATAACCCTTGGAAGCAAACAGCATAGCATGGCAATGACGATTTTGAGAACAACTTTGGGTTTTCATCCTATGCTCATACAATGGGAATTGCAACATCATTCAAGAGCATCTTTCTGAAAACGTATTTCAAGGGAGAACTGCCCTATTTCTTAGCACCTAAAACAAAAACCAAATTCTCTCTCAGCTCTCAAGTTTCAGGTGCAGACCATACCACACGACCAGAATGTATCTGTTACAAACACTGACCCCAGCCAGGCCAATACACTACTGCCCCATTTGCATGCCAGAAGCAGCATAGTTTTGCTAATAGGGTTAGTGACAGCAATTATTCTCAAAAGATAAGTCCTTTTGAAATAATATTTTAAAAAGTAGCCATTTCAGAAAGCAGCAGTATGCAGATACGTGAAATTACAGGTCTTCACAGGAAAATGCATGACATTCTGTGAAAGTAGTTATCATGTGAGTTATCAAAACAAATAACCATGCAGTTTTAGTGAATTTATTCTACACCACTTCAGCTGAAGCATCCCTTCCCAGTGGCTGCATGAAACCCACAGGTAACTGCAGAAGCAGGAATACTGAGTCTAATGTATTAGAAAAGGTTTTTTCAGAGGCTTTTACAGCACATTTTTTACAAACTTACCAATTACACACTTAGGTATTAAATTACTTTGACAACACTTTAAGACAAAGCTACATCAACTTTTGCTGCAGCCAAATTAAATGAAAAAATTTCAACCACATGTTCTTAAAAATTAAACTTAGCAATTCAACATCTCTACCTCCAGCAAACACACAGTATGCAACCTACCATAGAAGAAAAAAAATAATCGGGGGGAGGAGGGTAGGAAAAAAGAAAAGGTGTTTGAGCACAATCTGAGTTTCTGAAAATGCATAAATTGTATTCTCTAAA